ACACACACACACACACACACACACACACACACACACACACACACACAGCAGCGTTTTCCCTGTGGGCGGAGTTTATTCTCAATTAAAGGGCCAGTTAATGTTCAACAACAACAGGGGAAGTTGGTGAAGAGCTGTGACTCAGCTGATTATGAACAAACACAAGAAACTGATTTAAATATGGTTTTAAAAAAAACAAACTTCCTCTTCTTTGGTTTGCGGGAAGCAGAACTTTTTGTTCAGCGCATGTTGTATAAACGGACGATCAAAAGTAAAAAGTACGTCATTTAACTCTCGATCATTTATTGCAAAATGAAGTTAGTCGTGGAATGGATTTAGCTCATCGTCTGACACCTGAGATAGATATTATAATTTATTTATTAACTCCACCGTGGTTCTGTAAAGCCACACATAAATAAATGCAACTCTAGTGAGATCAGGATGTGGGTTCATGGATGAATAACTTGATTTCCCTCCGTTCTTACCGACTGTCTGTCTGTCCTGCTGGTTTCCTCGCTGACTGCGGGAAGTTCACTCTCATGCCACTCATCCTCCTCCTGCTGCTCCTCCTCTCTGCTCTCTGCAGGAGGAGCGACGCTCTGGTCCGTGCTGAACGCCGCCCAGGACTCCTGCTCCTCTTCCTGCTCCACCTGCTGCTGCTCCCCGAAGGCGCTCCACCCTGCATCCGCCTCACCGTCTGCGCCTTCAGCCGCCGAGTTGAAATTCCCGAAACTGTCGCTGACGGGGAAGTCTGCAAACGTGCCTCCATCCTCCCCCTCGTTTTCACTGGCGTGAAATTTGGGGGAGTTGAAGTCGCCAAAGTCGTCCTCGTACTTACCGTCTGTAGTTTCCTGTGCAGCGGCGGGGCTGGCCGACCTGCTCTGCTCCTGCTGGACATCCAGCTGGTCAAAGTCGGCAAAGCCCTGCCCGCCGAATGAGCCGGAGTCTCCGAAGTCCCCGAAGTCCTCGTCCTCGTCGTCCTCTGCCAGCTGGCTGTGGTCGGCCGGCGTGGCGGTCTCGCCTTGGAGGGGCGGAGAGGGCACCGAGCCCGTGGTGCTCATGTCGCCGAACTCCTCCAGAGCGTCTGTGGACAACGGCCGGCCCAGCGACGTCTCCGTCTCCGTTTCCGTCTCCGTCTCCGTTTCCGTCTCCGTCTCGTTACCGGAGCCCTTCCCGTCCGACCGTCCCGCCTCACAGTCTGCGGCTGCATCGGGCGAGAGGTCGTTTTCGCTGCAGTCCGCGGAGTCTTTGGAATCGTCCCCGTGGGCCGCGTCCACCCCGTTCAGAGTGAGGGGTCTGTTAGTGCAAACTGCCTCTGAGGCCAAGTGCTCCTGTGCAAAGGCTACGTCCCTTTGTTGAGAGTCAGCATCCGTAAGAGAGCCCCGGTCCGTGTTGCACGAGCCACCCGGGGCCTCGGCGTGAGCAGATATGGAATCAGAGCCGGGTGCATTTGGTCCAGTTCTGTGTGTGTCCCTGACATTGTCCTCTGAAGTCGTTCCCTGCTCTGAGTCATAGTGCTCCTCGAGGCAGGCGGCCTCCGCCAGCCGGCTGCCCCCCGTGGGATTGTCTGAGTCCTCGTTTGCCGTCGGGCTGAGGTGTCCCTCGGCATTGGAAAAAGCAGCAAAGTCTGCGAAATCGTCCTCGGGGCTGCCGACGGGGACGCCGCCCGTGTCCTCAGTGGATGTTCCTTTTAAATGAGAATGGACAGAATTCTGCAAGGAGGGGCTTCCCTGAACGTCAAAGGTTGCAAACCCGTTAGTTAGCACCTCCGTGCCTCCGCCGTTGCAGGCAGCGGGCTCGCTGGCGGCTGTGACGCTCCCCGAGTGACTCAGAGGGCCGGAGAGGACCTTTTTCATCTCAGTTCTTTCTGAGGGACTGCTGCCCAGGTGGCCCGCCGGCACAACGCCATTAGCCTTGGACAGATCGCTGTTCGGGCCGTGGGTGCCGTTAGAGGAGCCGTGGCTGAAACCCGTCACCCCTCTGTTGTTGAGGATCTCAGGTGGGGAGGTGGCGGTCAGAGCTTGGGTCTGGTTGAAAGTGGTCAGGGTGTCGAATTCGGTGAAGCTGACGCTGTTCGGGACGCCGGCGAAGGTACCGAAGTCCCCGAACTCGTTGTCCTCTTCCTCTGTGCCGTCCTCCATCGGGGGTGGAGAGGACGAGTACATGCGGACCACATCTGGCTCCATGGTTCTCTGGCGGTCGACGAATCCTCCTGGCTACACCTAAAGACAGCGAGGAGAGATGTCGTCAGAAACAAACCCTCTGTCACAGCAGGTATATCAATAAAAACACATTCAAGCCTCATTCTGGCTCCGTAAACACAAGTAGTAAACCAGGGAAGCACTTGTGGCGCTCCGGGGTCAATTTGCTTGATGAGCGGCTGGAGCCGAAGCAGGAATTGAATTACTGAACCACTAAAGAGGACCGACGAGTCAAATTGACAGTAATAAAGTGGTAATGACAAGCCAGCGCTGAGATGTTTCCAACTGAGACAAAACAAACAGTGAGATAGCGACAACATAAACTATGACGGCACTTCAGTCTGCATCTTCTGACCCAACAAGTTGTAGTTATATACATTCTTAGGTTCACGTGAATAAATTACCTGACTTAATAGTTTCCCTCTCTACTGAACTCTGAAACCTCTGAAACATAGACGTTATCATCATTTCCTTGGACAAAACTTCTGTGAATACTTTCTCCCTCTCTCAAGTTCCTGGATGTCTTCCAGAAGTCTTATCTCTGTGTGTTTTATATCTGACAAGTGCGCATTTCATTAGAATCACAAAGACAAAGATAAGCAGAATCTTTGTCTTTCGGAGACATGTCAAGAATCCTCAAGAACCTTTCTAGCCTTTCCAAACAACTGTAGAAGTTTTACTTGCAACTTGAGATAAAAAAAGCAGTTGAATTCTGTGACTTGTAAACAATCACCAAAGCAGAATCTGATTGGATTTGTTGTGTCTTTCAGGGACCGAGCTAAGAAGTTATTAGGAAGTTACAATCCTGTGTATAAAATGTATGATTTCATAAGAGACACCAACTGGAGTTTCTCACATCTTTGACTTCGAACTGAAAAGAGGAAACTGGAAGCTGGGATAGTGGGAGGCGACAGCAACGTGTATTTGCCTTGCTGTCCTTATCTCACTGAATACCTGCACGTTTACACCCAGGCAGCGCTGCTTAGACTACAGACATGCAAGTCCAGAAAGACGAGTTAACAAACAAATTCGTGTTCCTACTTTAAACTGTGATCACTGAACCTCTCAGCAGACCAGGTTAAGTCACTCCGACAGCTCGGGTACAAATCACACACAAGTTAAGTGACTGTTTAGCAGTGGTTGAAAGTAATTGTACAATTTGGAGTTACTCGTATTTTACTTGAGTATTTCCATTTTATGAAACTTTATAACCTTTGAATCCATGTGTTTTAATAGGAGGTTAAGATAAGATGACGTACGACTTCATTGGTGAATTCACAGACTACTAAAAAAAGAACACAAAGTAGTAAAGAATTAGCTCCACCTTCACGTTTTTAAGTTAATTTATTGGTGTTTTCTCTATTAAGACGAGTTGTCACCTTTCATGACAATGTTAGCAGCTGTTTATTTAATAATCTACACACTCAATATCAGACGGTTTCGGCTTTTGTCTCGAGTTAGCCAAGTTTCACACATTTTTCCTACTTGTCTGGCGTTTTTTAGAGAAGCTAGGAGGCTAACGAAGCTAATTCTCTAGGCATGTAGCTTAGCAGGCTGGTAGGCTAATGTCTAGTGCCATCGTTAGCACACTTATGTAGCTAGATCTAGAAACGACTAGACTGGGGTTAATATGACATGACGCTAACAGCTAGGTTAGCATTGACTAGAAGGCATCTAATTTAACTAAAAGGCCGAGACACTTCGTTGAGATGTGGGGTGTAACGAAGGCTAGCTTAGCTTAGCTTGGTTAGCATGTGTAGAAAAAGCCAAAAAAGCCACGCTAATTTATGAGCGATGTTACCAGTTAACGTCTGATTAGTGTATCGTCACTTTACCGGGTCGTTTAAATAATCAAACGCGATCATCGCAGGTACATAAAGTATATAAAGCAACAGCATCACATACAAGTTAAGTGAGAAGTCCACCACCTCGGCTAACTACGCAGCTAGCTAACAAGCTAACTCCACAACGACAACAACAAGCATCTTCCTAGCTTTAGCGTTCGCCGATCCCACATCCTCCGTCTTGGAGTTTTTGGGCAGCCGGTGTCTTTAGATAGCAGGTGAGCTAACCGTGAGATGTTGTCCACTGATGTCCATGACTCAGGTAGAGACAGCACCGTCCATACGTGGTCAGATTGAGCCGGTTGAAGAGTGCAGGACGGGGGAAAGTGAAGCAGAAAACTGAAGGTTGAGTCAGCCGGCTCAATATCTCCCAGCATGCACCGCTGTGACAGGTTGGCTCTCTGCGGGGCTCTTTGGGTTCTTCTAAACTTTCCATGTTTAACAGGTATGTTCAGTAACTAAGTACATTCACTCAGGTACTGTACTTGAGTATTCCCATTTTATATTTATATTTTAGTTATTGTGGATTTTTTACTTATTTCATATTCTTTACTGTTTTATTACTTATTTATAATTGTTTTGATCTTGTTTGCACTATCCACTATGCTGCTGTAATCCTGTAAATGTCCCCGCTGCAGGAGTAATAAAGGATCTTATCTTATCTTTTATGCAACTTTATACTTCTACGCCACTACAACTCAGAGTTAAATATTGTTCTCTTTACTCCACTACAGCTGTCTGACATCGTTAGTTATTTTCAGAGTACAGTTTCTCCTCCCCTCTCTGCTTGATAATCAAGATAATCAATTCATATTTCAAGTTGCTGACATTATTTTCCTCCTCCTAACTTAAAGGCATCTTTTTAGGCTTTTTACTTTTGACATTGTACAGACTGAACTGTTATAATAAGGAATAGAAAGCACTATATTGAATGAAATTCTGAAAATAATTGTTGATTGCAGCACAAACAAACGGACAATTTTCATTGGGACACAGACACACGCTGAATATAGAAATAATGATTTATTTCTCATGTACTTTTAATATGGATGGCAGCAGGACATCCCACCACGTGGTTTGAGGTAGTCATCACATAAACATGGAGGCCTCGCTGTCCTTATCTTCAGGCTTTGTTTACTAATACAAAGTGTGATTTTAAAAAACAAAACATATTACAAAATATAAAAACAATTCCACCCACGGCATCAGCGGCCTTCAGCTAATCCCAGTTTATGCTGTTAGATGATATTTACAGTTGCAGTAGTTGTGTCCTGTTGGCTGAACAAACATCGGCATTAAAATGTATTTAGAAAGGATAAAGATAAGGAGAAGGATGTTTATTGTCATTGTAAAAAGATATAACGAAATGAAGTTGGCGCCTCATCAGTCAGTTCAGCAGCAACAAGGTAAAAAACGACCTTTCTGAAAATCTGAGCCTCCAAGAAAAACCGATCAACAACAAAACAATGAAGGGCATTACAATTGGGATTTTAAAATGTTCTGTGAACTTTTTGCAGGGACTTTGGCAAATGTTTCAACATATTCACAAATGACAGTTCCCACACAGCTTCAACTTTCCTTAAGTAGATCATGAACACACATATTTGTCCCAAAACTGAAGACTCATTTCTCTCCATATTGAACATCTGGAACCAAAATGTTCCAGCGTGAGCACACAGTGTGTCTAGACGCAGTGAGTCCTGGAGGTCGTGAGATTGGACTCATTGTGCAACGGTCCTTCACTTCAGGCCAGTTTAGTGACGGTGACGCCGCCTTTGATCCACAACGTGTCGATATCGCCGAGCGACGTCAACCTGTGATGGAAGTCAAACAGCTTCTGTCCGTCCACAAACACACGGAACCGACTTTGTTCACAGTGAATCTCAATCTGGGAGGAGAGACGAGACACAAGCGGATGTTTGGTCATTTGACACCTGACATGAATCATCGGATATATTCCACTCATATGAATGTATGATTGAGATATTAACGTCTACTTTAATGTGTCAGGAGAACAACATGTTTGGAGGCCTGGTGAAGGAACCAACTGTTGTAATTCTGGTTTTGCTCAATAAATTTGTAACAAGAGCCGACAGCTGCCACATCTCAGTGAGGCCCGAAGAGCGGCGCCCAGACTGTGGATTTTGTCGGTATACCTTGAACGGCTGGTCTCTGATGAAGGGGAAGAAAGGCACGGCTCGGTCGGCGTCCCCCCAGGATCCGGCCACACAGGCCCTGCGCAGGACTTGCCGGTCCCTGAATCGAACACAGAGCTCCAGAGCCACATCAGGCGGAGGCTCCCCGGATCCACGACCACATGTCAGGGCAACGTAGAACCTAAAGGAGGAATACCAGACGTGACTCTGACAACACTGTTCTGACTCTGTATTAAAGGGTTCAGATTATCCCGAAACGTAACACAAACAGAGAGCAAGTTCCAACTAGCAGTGGTGGAACAATTGTGTGAAAATTGAGTAAGATAAAGATGAAAATGTTCTACTAATCTGATGGAAACACAAACATACTGGCCTGTTTGAGAGCCAGCATTACAACAGACACATTAAAGCCCATCAGGAGAGCAAGGCCCAGTAAAAGCTCATCAAACGGGCTCTTATAATAACATCTACACTAAGTAAACTTAAAAACATGACGATTTTCAAGCTTCTGAAGCAACTTGTCAAGGAAAGTGGAAGTTTACCTGTTAGGACACGATTCCACGACACCCACCACGACAACCTTCTTCCCCGGACGCATCCCCCCTGTGATGTGACCTCTGAAAGGAACCGCCTGGACACACACACGCACACACACACGCACATGCACACACACAAAAATTTGCATGAAGACAAGTGGATGCAACAAAAATGTGAATAATTATTCTATATCTAATTGCACTGGAACAAAAACAGTTGAAAGAGTTGAAAACAAGAAGAAAACATTCCATTTAAATACTAAGTTAAAAGGAAATCATTAACATCATTTACTATAACGTTTAAAATATTAATATACTGTATGTTGAACTACAACCGGGTTCGGGGAAAACATCTTGAGAATACAGTTGAAATATTTTGAGACAAAATGTCTACCAGATTTCTCTCATCAGTTCTGTCAGGAGGACGAACACTCGGTTTATTCTCATCACTTCTCTGTGGAACGACCCATTTCTGAAAGGAAAAAAAAAAGATTTTGATTTCATTTGATCTGTCCTGCATTTCCAGAAGTCACCGAGGCTGTTTAGATTTGTTTAGATCACTTGATCGTTGATTGTTATCGTGAGGTACAGGCCAAATAATAATAAATGCATAGTTTTCAACCAGTTACACTGCAAGAAAATCTGTGTTTCTTGACCAGAAAACCAAATATGCCATGGAAGATTAATTATCTATCAAAAGAACCACATCACTAAACATCTGACATTCCAACAGTCTTTTGGTGGGCCCACATTTTTACAAAAAAACATGATGTCATGACGTCATGATGACCTCACCAGCCAAGAGGACAGATTTGACTCCACAATCGCCCTCACGTCATACAGATGTGCGCTGCGATTGCATCACATAGTAAATACCAGGGTCCAAAAATACTACATAGTAAAACTCCTCAATTCAAAATGTTATTTAAGTAAAAGTACAGAAGTTATTTTAAGAGTCAAAAGTAAAGTACTCATTGTGTGGAACGGCTTCTTAGCTTTATATTTTGGAGACTATGATATTGTTCTGTTTTCATCAAATGTAAAAGCATTTCATTGTTGTATCTTAATGTGGAGCCAATCTTACTGATTTGCATACTACTGGGTAGATTTAGTATAATCCTATAATATAAGCATAATATCATGTTTTTTATGTAAGGAGTAACTAGTATCAATAAAATAAAGTGCAGTTAAAAGTAAAATATTTGCCTTTTGAGATGTAGTAAAGTCGAAGTATAAAGAAGCATAAAATTAAATACTCAAGTGCGGTACAAGTATGTCAAAAAATATTTCGGTTTCTTACTTACAACTTATTTTTATTGATTAGGAACATCCCAATTAATTTTATTGAACAACATTCAAATCCTTTATTTGACTAGAAACTATTAATGTTTTAACATTACAAGTTAAATTATCTGAAATGTGTAGCACTTAATTATAACACGAAGTAAAATAAAATGATTTAAACACAATTTTCACACTCGACTGACGTCAAAGCAACAGCTCACAGCGTGACGTCACGCACCCGGTGACCGGCACGTGCTGCTTCAAGTCTGAATAAAACAGGAAAAAGAATGAGTTCCGGTTTTACCTTCAGAATAAAAGCAGCTGATATGAACAGAATGCTAGAGGTTCACGTATTATGTTAAGACTTTTAGATGAAACAGGAAGATCCTTAGTATGATGTAGTGAAGTTATTAATTGAAAATGAACCACCACGAATAAACACCCTTAACTCATGTGTAGTTGTACTTTAACGTGTAACTTAAGTTATCACATAAGTGAAAAGTATATGTCCCTCTGAAATGTTGTAAAATAGAAGTGATAAAGTACTAAGAAAAGAAAATTGTCAAAGTACTATCGCCTCTAAATAGTACTCTAGTACTTGAGTAAATGTACTTGAGTACTTTCCACCACTGTCGTCTTCAATGCAACAGCCCTGGTTTTCCGTCCCATTAAGTGTAAAACCAGTAGCAAGTAAACACTTTCCTACTGAACCCTTTGACTTGGTTTATTTAAATGTTGTAAACTTTACTTTGTATGGATATTTAAAACGCTGCTACGTAGATGAGGGGTGCTTTTATTTTGTTACTGTTGACAGGAAGTTGCATTGTTTCTTTCACAGCAGTCAGGTTATTTTAGAAAACTAGTTTAAAGTCACCTGAGAAACAATACTGAAATCAGAAACGTTCATCTGACGCACCATTGAGACCACTTTCCTCTCTGCTGCTCTGTTGTTGTTGTTTCTATATTCTCTCACCTGCTTCCTGTTTGCTCAGGTGTGTTCCGACTCACCTTCCTGCCCTGCGCTGTCACTCGGTGTGTTTCGGCCATGTTGATCTGAAGGAAGCAAACAGCGGAGAAGAATGAGCTGCAGGTCCAGTTTGTCCGACGTCTCCTGTCGACTGTGTCAACGCTGACGTAAAAGCTTCAACCTGCCTCATTACACACACACACACACACACACACACACACACACACACAGCTCTGGTAATCAGCTGCCCCTGCATGTCTTTCTCTCTCAGGTCAATAACAAGAGAGCTTATTGTTGTGAGGCTGTGACTGCAGGCAAAACCCCAAATATTTAATTTTCTTCATGTTTTCTTTACAAAAGTACTTTAACACCGTTTATTCATTCCGGAAAACAACAAGACTCATGTTGTCTTTTAGTAATGGAAACAATTAAGATTGTTTGTGTAAAAACAAATTAAGTAAGAAATCCCTTTAGGCTGCACATGATGCACCATATGAAGGTTGATGCTTGACTGTACAGTAGTATTGTATAGTTATATATAATGTAATAAACCTATTTTACTACATATATTATTTGATTTACTGCTGAGCTGACGTAAAGACTTGGAGAGATTTTTATTTAATTCTGTTTTGTTGATACTGTGGATTGTCAATAATGTAAAGTTTGAATGTCACGTCTTGTTACTGCCGTAGTAACTAATGGGGATCCTAAATAAAGTAAAAGTAAACAGAGAACCCATATATTTACCTGTAAATAGAGAGCACACAGCTGTTTACTCCGGTGGGATGAAACATGTTAGTAAATACATTCACTGTTGGTTTTTGTTGACAAGAAAAATAAAGAATAGCACCAAACTTGTACTTTAAAGCGTGTTGAAGTCTCAGCAGTACTCATACAAATGTGAAGTTTCACAGTAAATGTACATTAGAGAGGTCAAGAAAAGAATCAAGTCCAAAATACTCGCCTCACAAGTCTGCAGCTGATTTACAAAACTTCACCTAAACTTCTCCATCTTTGGTTCTGACGAGTTTCTTTTCAATGTGATTTACAGAAACATGTCTTGTCGCCACTTTCCTTCTCACTTTCCGTGACGAGTGTAAGAGAATGGAAGGAAGCAGGACACGAGGTCAAAGGAAAGGGCCGAGCGGGAGGAAGAGGAAACAACAGAAGCTCCACGCTCGAAAAGTGAAAACAAAATCCAATATTTAATATTTACTTTGAAGCTTGCTGACCGGCAGCCTCTGCTCATGTTGCTACAGCTGATGATGAATTAAACTCGGTGTTTCACAGTTTATAAACAGATGTACAAATACACAGGAAGATGTTGTGCATTTTATTATGAAAGGGAAAAGAAAATGACTGTTGATTTTGATAAAAATGAAGTCAAAGTACAATATCATCAAGAGACAAAAAATACATAAATAAGTATACATAAATAACAAAGAACAGTACAAAATTTCCTCAGTTATGAAAACGTATAAAAATAATGTACAAACATTCCGTTATAAAACAGTAAAAAGTTCTCACCACTCTCACCAGTGCTGACATTTCATCACAAGTAGGTGCTTCTTGTTAAAGACCAGATTCCCCAAAACGAGGATCAACAAAGTCTCACGCGCTCTACTTGTCCCAGTCGTCTAAACCAGTTTTCCCAGCAGGAAGGAGAACGACGCTCCCAGTGCCAGACCCAGAACGAGGAAGAAGGTCATCAGAGAGCCGGCTGTCTCGCAGTCTTTACAGTGCACCAACCTGACGGACACAAACCGACAGTTACAACATGGCCTCCTCTGTTACACACATCCACACCAGTCCGCCCACTATAAACCACAGCACACACACTACAGGGGTGACCAGTCTGACATGATGTGACTTCAGTCTCTCCGTTTTGTTTAAAGAGCATGCTAATCTGGAAACTTTGGAGGAATAAACCACACCCTGACCTCACCTTGTTAAAGGGACAGTAACACTATTCCTCTTCTTCTTGCAGGCTTCATGGTGTTATTTAGCTAACTTTACATCATTATGCCGCTGCATTGGGACAGGTTAAAGTACACTGCAAGGATATTTATAATTCCCAAAGCGGTGGTGTTATCATTTTCCTGAGATATATATACAACCTTTATTTGACAGATATATTAAGGTTTCTTGGCTCCAATCTTGAGCTTGGAAACAGTTGATCAAAAACATCTCCATGAGGTTTTTTTTAATATATACTTTTATAAAGAAGCATAGAAATACAACAAAACATATTAGAAACAACAGTTGGTCACCTATGCATTCAAATGTTATACCGATAGAAATACATGCCAGTTCACTCAGTAACTGATCATCTCATGAGGTGCACAAAGTTTTATCAATTTATCAACACGTAGATTCAGCAGAAAAAGTCATTCTCTCCTACTTTAAATATTACTCACAATCTCTATCCAGTCAGTCTTTGCTGGAGGTTCAGTCTGTAACTATTTTTGTGTTACAGCTTTCTTGCCGGCTGCTAATAATGTGTTTAATAGATATTTGTCTGCCACCAATAAATGAGATTGTAGAGACATAACAGTCAGTTCTTCATTGCCTGTATTACCTCCTATTATAAGGTCTATTAAGCAACTTCTCAGGAGCTTTTGATCATTCATAATGTTTATCAGCAGGTGGAGTCAGTTGCCACGGAATTGATGATGTTCAAAAATGTAATGAATTATAAATCCTCATAAATCACCTGTGCAATCATGTGTTGACCAGCGGCATAGCCAGGTCATTTTGCCAGGTCTTAAGCCTCGAATGTTTTGAGTGTAGCTCTGAATACAATCATAACTATATGACCATGTGATATTTCAGTTTTTCTTTTTTAATAAATTTGCAAAAATTTCTACATTTCTGTTTTTTTCTGTCAAGATGCGGTGCTGAGTGTACATTATTGAGAAATAAAATTAACTTTTTTGATTTTAGCAAATGGCTGCAATGAAACAAAGAGTGAAAAATTTAAAGGGGTCTGAATACTTTCCGTACCCACTGTATAACGTCAGAAAGGGCTGACCTGTGACAAGGTAAGGTGGTGAAAATATTCTGAATAAAGCGAACACTTAAACTGATATTGATTCTTTTAGGTGTCTGAAACACGTCCACAGCAGCACTTTGATTTGCTCCCGTGCTGGAACTCCGTCTACTGTAGTAAAACATTGACGATGGAGAAGAACCTCATTCAACCCCACTTAAAAAAAATGAAGTTCTGTGACCCTCATAAATGAGTCTCTGTGGCTGAGACACAGCACTTCCTGTTTGAAGACTCACTGTGGAGCGTAGGCCATGCAGAGGCTCGCCAGGTACCCGTTGGAGAAGGAGAACAGGACCATGATGGTGACGAAGGCACCGTCGTGTCTGAAGAGGACGGGGAGTCTGGAGTTCTGGACGTTGCACATCATGAGCAGAGGGATGAAGACCAGACGAGACAACACAGCGACAGGAAACAGGCGGCTCTCCTTCGAAGGCTGCACAAACACGCAGGGTTAGGAGTCATTAACGCGTTACACTCACAATTTAAACAGCAAAGTAGCGGCGCTACTCACCCATTGGACGAGAGACGGGGCGCCGCGGCCGACCAAGTCAAAGGTGTTGAAAACGATGAAGCAGCAAACGCAGGTGAACACTTTGTCTGTAAGAGATGGAGAGCAGGACAGAGCTGGTGGTGAGACAGTTAGAAAATAATGTGAATTTACATTTACCAGACTTTAGCTTACGTCCATATTTGTTTTAAAGCACTTCTAAACTGTTATTTAGCTCCAACTAAGTCAGATATGAGAGTCTCCCAAAACGTAACGAAGACTTCGATGCTATTTACAACTCGGTAACTCATAATTACGATAACTCTGACAGGACATGAACACAGCAGACGCTGCGACGTCTCACCCCAGGCAGCGCTGTCCTTGTAGACGGTCTGAACTCGGACCGTGATCACAGGAAACACTGACAGGGTGACGGCGAACAAGCACGTCACACATGCAGCCATCAGCCAGATCTGAGGGACACGCACAGATTTATTTATACTATTTATACTATTAAGATACTCGTATCTTCAACCTGTGCAGTGAAATGCTCGAGAGGATGTGCTAAAAGGCTAATGTGCCATGATAATAATTAGAATAAAGGTAAAAACAAGGATTAGAAAAATGGAAAGGACAACTTTTGAAAGATAAAAAATGCAAACATGTTGTGAAAATGTTTGTTATTTATGCTAACAGGAGTCTTAACAGTCAGAAAGAAGCCAAACCTACCAACACTAAACCACAGGTAGACATCAAAGTTCAAAGTTTGCTTTATTGTCAATTCCACAATGTACTGAACATACAGGGGAGTTGAAAATACGTTTCTCTCCAGTCCAACATATAAAGTGAATACAGTGCAATAGATTAAAAAAACATTTAGACAATATATATATAATAAGAGAAAAAAACAAAAAACTGTTTCCATTGCTAATTTATACTGAATTATGCATTAAAACTACAAAGAAAAGTACAAATGATGTACAAATATGTGCCACGAATAAAGTTAAAAGTTGACACCAATTTTAACAATCGATTAATCTTTTATCAAATGTTCTCTGATTCCAGCTTCTTAAATGTGAGGATTTGCTGTTTTATATCTTTTTTTTTTTTTTTTTGTTTTTTTTACTGTGGGCCAGTTTAAAGCAAATTTAATGTTGATTAGTTGAAATCATAACGTACGGCTGTTTGTGGTCAGTTAGTTGATTTTATTGTGATATTTTCTGTGATGTTGACATTATAAATATGAAGAATAATCATCATAATGGATCCAAAGAACAACAGCGATGGTGCTCGAGTCATTAGTGTACATTTTCTATGTCTTTAATGACAAATATTTTCTAAAATAATAAATATCTCCGAACAGATGAGAAGCCGTTCACCTTCTTGAAGACTTTGAAGACGGACGAACGCTCCTGAATCTCTTCCGGCTCACTGATGAACTTCCTCTTGGCCTCGAGGTCTTTATCCACGTCGCTCAAGACTTTCTTCTCTTTAAAAGGAAAGAAATGAACGTTTATCAGCGACTAAGTTAATGATGCGATCATCCAAACTGACCCAGAGCCAGCGGGTGGAAGAAGTGCTCAGATATTCTACTTAAGTAAAAGAAGTAATACCACAGTGTAGAAAATAAATACTCTGATACTGTGAATAGGAATCCTGCACTCAATGGAATATTGAGTGCAAGGAATCTTACTTAAGTAGAAGTACAGAAGCTGGTAAAGGTGGAACTAATTTCAATTACTTTATATAATAAATAATCAATCGTAATTTATTTGTAGATGATTTCATATCATTATTCTGAATCTGCAAAGTAACTAAAGTAATTAAAATAAATGTAGTTCAGTAAAAAGTACAGCATTTCTCTATGAAATGTAAATATAGTGGAATAAAAGTATTAAACAGCAGAAAGTTTAAATATTCAAGTCATGTAATAGTACATCACGTCGCTCTGGTCACTGACCTGTAATTACTTTCACTGCCAGAAGGGGGAGACAAAAGTGCCACGCTCCATCTTTACGTAGAGTACTTGAGTAATTGTACTTAGTTAGTTACTTAGTTTTGTAAGTTTTTTAAGTCTTTACTACTAAGTTTTAGTAGTTCAGCCCATTTGAAACGAGCTAGTAGTTACTGAGAACCTACAAGGATTCATGAAGAGCTGGTGAGACCCAGTTCTGAACCTTTGACTTATATCAGCTAGAATATAATAACACAAGATCATAAATAACTGGAGAAACCTCGTCGTGTTGCAAGATGAGACTTGGTAGGAACCAACCTGTGCTGCTGAGGAGTTCCTGTGTCCTCTCCGCGGTTGCAGAGTGATTTCTGTTCATGTAAAAACTTGCAAATTCCTGCGGAGGAGAGTCGACGCCGTCAGGGCGATCGTAATGTGGGCTCTACAGAGGCCCTGAGGTAATATTTCACGATTTAAATGAATTGATAAGAAAAAGATATGTCCGTAGGGTTTCTGCCACTGACAAGAGTTTATACAGATGATAACAACAAAGCCTTTAAACTAAATTTAAAATGCGTGTCGTTCGTGTCCTCACCAGCTGTGGCAGCAGCAGGTAGCACAGCAGCGTCCCCAGAGTGGCCACACATGGAGTGATGAAGTATCCCAACGCAGCCGAGCTTTTATCCGCGTTACCTGCAGAGCGAGAGAGAGTCGTTTACAACCAGATTCATTTTTTAGGAACTGTTGCACCCAACTACGGCCACTATTACTGACTGTCACAGTTATATTGGTCTCAACGAGCACGTCGGCCAGTAAGTGAAATGTCAGTTCAGAAACACCAAAGACGTGTTTGAGGTCGGGATGATTTCTGATTATCTTATTTAAGTTTGTTTTTCACAGAAAAAAGGGAGATGTTTGTCCTTTCTGTGATGCAATAAAATATATATTAGTTTCTTTACAAAATGTATTTTGGCTCGGATAATGGTGACATGAAATTTTAATATCGTTCCACGTCTAGTTTGAGGTAATTTAGAAACAGTGTTTTCATTACATACTGCAGGTTTATTTTCACACTTGTAAAATGTCCAATTCAGTAAATATATCTCGGTCACAAGTCAAAAATAAGGAATCGTTATTAATATCAAATAAATGAATAACGGTCGATATATTATCTCTGTCACCCATCACCCATCTATCACCCATTCAATAACATGCGCTCACATTCTGAGATCTGAAACTCAAAGCCACCTGCTACTTTCACTTGTCTCAAAAACAAAGCATATTTAAAGAATTGAGTCCGTCTCCCTCGACAGTAGAGGTCTGTTCCTGGTATTCATTTTAAACCGCTCAACGATAACTCTTTGTTTGTCATTAATGTTGTCCAGTCGGGTCGGTTCAGGGTGTTACTCACTTAAGATGGAGAGGAGCATCGCGAGTGCAGCGAAGATCCCGGCCAGACCCTGACCGCTCATGAACAGAGTGCTGTAACGAGGAGGGAACAGACCGACCACACCGAACAGACTGCCCTGCAGCACTGCACTGAACACTGCACACACACACACAGGTATTATTATGACAGTGCTCATCATCTATTTGTATGGTAGAATAATACAAGAGCAGCAGTAGCATTGCTCAGACTTTCCCTACATGTCGAAGTCTTCTGTCGACATGTAGGGAAAGTCCTGTTAGGAATAGCAGTGATATTAATTTAAAGTTACGAGGAGCTTTTTTTCTGTTGTTTTTGGCGGTCCCTGTGGACAAAAGTGGTAGTGCTTTCGAGCACCAGAGTCCCTTTAAAAAAAAACTAATTTCAGTACAGCAGAGTCTGACAGTCTGCCCCGCTCAGCCCTGGTTCTGGTGTGCCTCCCTTTTTTCCAGCGGGCCCAGAAAAGGCAGCCTGGGCCTCCAGCACCGTGGTGTCGGCTCTCAACGGAGCAGCGAGGCGAAGCTCTGCTCCTGGCCGGAGGAGACCCTGCTGCAGAGCGCTGAGACCCCCGCCCTCCTGTCCACAGAGGACCGGTCGCTGCTGGAGGCCCCGCTGGAGTCTGAGCTGAAGGAGTGTTTTGGTAAACCTGCATGATTTCATCTGATTTTTTGCGATGAATTCAGTGGCATCGATGACACGCGTTAGGATCAGTCTTCTCGCTGATGGTCGTGTTTACTTATTTAGGTCATATAGAGGCATCAGTATTAAATTGAGACTGTTTTATAAGAGGTTAAATGTTCCTCACAGTATCTTTAGTTAGCATCAATTAATTAATAAGGACTCCGAATAAGTTTGTCCTCATTTGTCTAATTGCATTCTACAATTGGGGTTGACAGGTGAAGGTTCATATGATGTGGACGTAAAGACCTTCATCCTGAACGTCAGAGGGGTTTCATGTGATAACAATAACTGTGTGTGTGTGTGTTTGCATGAACCCACTGTTGATGAACCAGATGGTGGCCATTGTGATGGAGAAGAAGGTGTCCGGTTGCATGGGGACCTGGACCAGAGCGGCGGTGAGGCAGAAGAGCAGCAGGATGAAGATCAGGCTGAAGGCCACGCGGAGACGCTCCCTCACCCTGCAGGGAGGTCGAGAGAGGAAACACGTCGCCTCGCGGTCAGTCGCTCACGTTAAAAGTGACGTAAACGCGTGTCAATAAAGCCGAACTAAGTAAAGAACTTACCACTGATACAGGAAGGAGTTGAGCAGAGTGAACAGCAGCAGGGGCAGCTGGGAAAGCAAGGCCATCCAGCTGTCATAGTTGTAGTCTTTAGTTGAGCCGCCCGATGTGCTGTTTGGTGGTGCTGCGAGGCGCTGGTTGAAATACTTTAACAAAGAGGACAAAAGAAGAACATCTTCATATGAGATATAACAAAGTAAATGTCTGTGCTGTTGATGAGTTCTTTGTTATATTTACTGTATATAAGCTTCTGTTTTCTATTATCTTTGTTCAGCTTTGTTTTTAGCTGTGTGTGTATTTCCGTCTTTCTGTTCTGTGTACATCTAAGTATAAGTACATCGAGAGCTACTTAAAACCAGTCTGTTCACAAACGTTGCCATACATCGAGTGCAAAATTAAAACATTGATGCGTATCATCTTTAAGTTATGCCTTTATTTTGAAAGTCCCATGGCGTCTGTGTCACCACAAGTTTTTTCCTCCTTCCTACAGAGCCCAGAAATACAATCGTCAAATCATATTTTAGTTTATTGAGTCGGTATAAATGTAATTGATTGATTGAAATGGGCATATGACATCATCAGATTTTGTGACATCATCAAATATGGTATGGGGATGAAACTTGTGATGTACACCTGTCTTAATATGAACAAAGCAACAGCAGTCTGATTGACATTCCCTGAAATAAATAATGAGAAACCTGAGAGGCCGTCATGAAGAAGTTCCAGGGCAGCAGAGTTCCCAAACCGAGCACAAAGATGATGACGGCTACAGCCCGACCGCTGGGGGAACAGAAGAAACCAAAATGTCCTGAACTGTAAATTAAAACTTCAGTTTGTACAAAAAACAAATCCTCAGCGGGAGAATATCAAACTCACCGGTCGGCAGGTGGACGCAGTTTGTTTTCGTTCCACATCCTGTTGCTTCTGTTTGTTGTTTCTGCACTAAAGTAAAGAGACAACTCACATGATGTGTTCACTGCACATGTGCTGTGTAGGTAATATCAGCATCATCCACAACTGACTCAAAGAATCACCGGCTTACTGGTACTCACCAGCATCCTGCTGGTTTTGCGACTTGACAAATCGATAGTTTGACTCAAATAAAGAAAGATAAAGGTACGTTTTTACAGAAAAGTTAAAAAATAGGTAGAAAGTATTAATACTTTAATTAAATAGACATCAAAATACTCATTTATATAGTACACCTGCATTCCATTTAAGTTACAGCACAGATGATTAAAACAGATTAATCTGTATATGCATCATATTGTGAAATCTGATCATACGTTTTGTAGCCTTTATGAAAATTACATTTTCTTATATTTATTTAATGGCATTTGGCTGAAATTACTTTTACCTCAGCATTAGACGTCATGGCCTCAATTCTTCCCCTTCATTGCTAAATAAGTACCTTAATATTTCTTAATGACATGGCATTAATTAAGAATTAATGGATTAAAGTATTCATTAATAAATTAGTCATGTTAATTCAAGTTTATATTAAGTAATTTTGTCACAAATCATTTGATGATTGAATCATTTCCATATCATTAAAACCAAAAAGCACCTCTATAAATATGACATTGTGTGCAGCGTCAATGTGACTCCCGGTTGCGTCATCTGCCAACTGTGTTTTCCGCCTTTTTTTAATTCAATTTGGCGGGTAAAGGTATTTTATATCAATCGATTTATAACCATCAAAACCAAATTTTACTTCAGTTAATTACAAAGGTATCATTGTCATTATTATTCTGTAGCTATGTAATAAAAGATGTGTAAACGCGCGTACACGTGTTCATAAGAGCGTTTTAATCTAAATCTGAAATACTGTTATCATTTGACTTCCTCGTTGTAACCGTGGTTTTACTTAAAGCCGATGGAAAGAATAGGCGACCTGACTGATTATGTTACTACGCAAACACACACGGACACTTAATATCAAAATAAAGCTTTACCTAAATGAGAATGTAACATGTTGTCGGTCCAGTCCGGCAACACTGCACACCGCCTACTTCTTTATTTCCTGCCTATAGCAGTGAACGTATTATATTTATAATATAAGCCTATTAAATCATCTTTGTATAACACAGGTATAGCTCACCTGAGTGTCGGAGCCGGCTCCTCGCGGGTCAGACAGGTGGGATGAAGGATCTCGCTGGGTCGCGGATTTTTTTTGCTTCCTTCCGCCACTTGGAAAGCTGTCATTTTTTTTTATTATTTAAAACCCACATGTACTTTCTTGTGATTTCCCAACTCTAACACTAGATGGCCTCTCACACTGCTGACTTCTAACCTCCACATTAAATACAGACACAGGATATCTGAGAGGAGACTAACGCAACACCACACATGTCTGTCAAAAGGTGTGAACATAAAAAATTGAAGCTTCCCCTGGAAAGATTAAAGGAAACATTAACTCCACTGAGGATTTAGAATTGTCCATATAGTTGAGTTCAACCGAGGCAAAGTGACTCGTCGTGTGGAATTAAGGCTGGACTCATTTGCATCAGCTAAGATACTGTACTTTTATTTGCCTGGCTGGTTATTCCTGCTCTGCGTGTTTGTAGTGAACACTGTATGCATGAACCAGGATGCTCCTCATGCTGAAACACAAGTTTAGTTAATATGAGGAAGCCTATAATATGGCAGGCAAAGCATTAAGTGCAATTTATTGCACTGCAGCACTATTTTTTCTTTATGATTGATGTAGGAGCTATTTCATTACTTTTATTATTTGATTATAATTATTTGTTATTGTTGTACTTATTTTTGTTGGCACTAGGGGCACTAAGCACCAGATCACACACTTGTTAGGTGAAACAATAAAGGCCTCAATGTCAGGTGATAAAGCAGGAAGGGACATGTAATTACATGTCAAACAAATGTGTTTCTGTGAATTAAAGTAGTGCCATTTTGTTTAACTAATGGCTTTTTTAATGCTTAATAAATTATGTACTAATGAAAAACCTAAAGCGTATAATGCAGTGTAGTTTTTAACCGTATACGCGTGTGTGTGTGTGTGTGTGTGTGTGTGTGAGAGAGAGAGAGAGAGAGAGAGAGAGAGAGAGAGAGAGAGAGAAACCAGCTGAGGTGAAAAGAGGAAGTGCTGATTTTTACATTTCACAATAAAACACCTGGCATGGTAACTTGGCGCAAGTATACTTCTTGACAACACATTAACATAACATATATAGCATATTAACACATTAACAAAACGCTTCAGTTCAGTTCGTGGAAATGTATGTATGTAAATGGTAAATATCGTTATTTAATCTATCTCAGATACAAAACCACTTGGACTTGCCGGTTCTCTTAAATCCGGGATGAAAAATACCTTTTGACATCTGATAAATACTTTTTTCCCCCCTTTTATGTAGCTTTAAGTTTGAAAATTCCTCTTATTCCACAGAGTCTGACAGTGTCAGTGTCAGTCAGGCATTAAACACAAAGGTCAAAGCAGCACACCAGTAACAAGGAGCAGCAATCCATCGTTAATGACATAAAAACAATATAGAACATAGTTTTAAAAAAAAGATCAAATTGAAAATATTTCAACTATTCATAAATACTGTGTTACCAACAACTGCTTAATGGTTTAATTAATTTGGGCCTACATCACCTCTACACATCAATCACCTTTGAAATGCATGTAGTGAATTTATTGGTTTTACTTTGAAGTGCTTACCGGAAGTACTCACAGTTTACGGTTCAAGTCTTTTTCAGTGCGGAGACGAAGAAGCCGAACCTCGGTGACTTTTTGTTCAATGTAAGGAGTCCCATGCTGATGCAAACGTGTTTAAACTCCCGGTAGACACCAAACCACCGGTAGCAGACACACTGTTCTGCCTAGAAACAGTTGACACCGACGACAACGCGAATGGACACATCCAGGGAGACGGAACTGCTACTTTGGTAAGTTGTATCGTTTATAAAGTTGTTTATCCTCATTCCTACTGACGTCACCATCTGCTGAATATGCTAAATGACAAAATAGTTAACTCTCTTTAAATTAGTTCTTAACTTAAACCGAACAAAATTCATACACGTTAACTGTTGTAACCAATACCGTGAATTTACAAATAACTTAACGCTATTTCTACATGTTTTAATCTCAACATCCGCAAATTTAAAGTCATACATGCCATGTATTTTGTTTATTTTATTTTAATATCTTAAAATCCCATAATAACGTTAATGCCCCTACGTTAATGTCATTTTAATTTTAACACTTGGGTATTTAGTAATATTGTATTTGGTAATATATTATGGCAACATCCACAGGCATCACTTAAATATATTCCTATAATGACTTATAATGTAATTACAGTTATACTGCTATAAGTCTTGCTTAATGTTTTCCTTTGTCTCTTTAAGTGACACCACAACATCTCTATGCTCTATAACGACTATATTTCTTTCAAATGTGTGTGGTACTGAATTCTGATGTTTATCTACACTATATAGTAAGTATACATATTACTCTTACTGTATATATGTGGTACATTATCTTCAGTAAATACTCCTATACTGTAATGTTTCTATATTGGCTTGTTTTTACAGGGTGATTATAAATATTTCTCCATGCACATCTACTTTTTATACACGTAGTATGTTAAATACTTGTGGTTTTCAGGCCGGTGTGTCCGGCTCTGTGCAGCCCAGCTGGCCTCTTTTGTTCCGGCCACACAAACTGATTAGCATGCACCATCCTATCAGAGCATCTGTCCCCACAGACGCTGCCATTGTTCCCCATGTTAAACTTGAAAGTTTGCCCTTTTTTTTTTTTTTTTTTTTTGTTCAACTGTCCCCTCGTGTTTAAAGCCTATTGACATGTCAACCCCTTATCCACACGCATGTGTTGACCTAAAACCTGGAGAAAGTTTGGACTGTGGGGGGGTTAAAGCAGAGGGTGAAGAGAAGTGAGGGTCACAGTTGGACCATATGGTTGAAATCAGTATCACAATATCAATACTTTGTTTTTTCTGCAGTGCTTCACAGCAGAAGTGGTCTGTAAAATACCCTCCTCTGCTAACTTTTATGAAATAAACCATGTAGCCTCTGGGGAAAGGAGCAGAGGAACACCGTGTGTAATGTGCACATTATCAAAAACAATCATTCTGGGTTTTTACTGTCTTGTGTCGGGTGAGACGAGATCATTCATTTAGACAAATAAAATGATTGTTATCACAATATTATTTTACTGGAAGTCGCTAAGTGACAGTATTGAGCTACCAGCCCAGATCAGTATGATTTAAGTTATTTAGGGACGATGTCCTTCAGCCTTTGTTTGGCTCTTGTACAATACCATGACCTAATATTTAAATGGGACATGTCTGGAACTTAATTATAATGATGTTATTATGATATTGATCTTTGAGTAAATCCTCCAGCGCCGCTTTACGTATTTTTGTGCTTTAATTCAAAGATTGACGAGTAACCCAGCTTTGTTTAATCTGGTTAAATGTGTCCTAATTTTGATTTTAACTAAATAATCTGCTTACACTGTTTACATGGAGCTGTAATGAGAGCACACTATTGCCTTAATGTGCTCTTAATTGAATCATTAGTGCACACTGATGGTATTGTCTCTATGACCTCCAACCAACGCGTCTACCCTCCGCCTGTTACGGAGACAGTTTGACATGTTTGACGGGCTGCTCACTGGCACTTCTCTGTCCGCTGCAATGGAGAACTGGGTTAGTTGAGTGTGCGTGTGCGTGTGCGTGTGTGTGTGTGTGTGCGTGTCGGCCAGGAGGTATTTCCTCTTCAGGGCTGGTGCTAAAACACAACCTGCTGGTTTTAGCCCTCTTTCAGTGCCAGGTGTTTTATTTCAGTGCCTCTGTGTTTGGCAGAAATATCATCTGCATGTTTATGTCAACAACTGTCAGCTAATACACGTCTGTCACGATGGACTTGTGAAACACAGGGGTAATATAATAACATCAAGAATGGCGCTGCTTTCCATTTAGGTTTGCCAGTTAAGGGGACGGAGGGCTGCTGGCAGACTGGCTGCTGACTTAATGGATCACAGTTATTTTGTCGTGCTACAGATCAGAATTGGACTGAGTTCAGTCCGATGAATGACTCACAGTCTGAACTCGTGACGACTGGAGAAATATGTAAATGTGAGACTTGTTGTTCCTGTCAGTTGACATGATGGACTGTCGGGAACAGTAACCTGTTAAAGTATCGTTCTTTAACATCTGTCACTCTATTGTAAGTCAGTACTTTTGTCGGCATCCTGTTGGAATGATGGCTTTGTTTTTCCAGTGATCTGATTGGTCAGGAGTCGTGATGGCAAGTGCAACTTAGCCGCGCAGAGTAGGCTATCGTGGTGATCTGGCCCAGTTAAAAGTGAGCCAGCCTTGTGTGGTATCAGGCCTCAGGTGATGTTAGTGAGACCTGTTGTTTGCCTGTTTGTTGCCTCTCTGGATGAATAATTCACACGTTAAATACACCTCCACTCTGCATCTCTCAGGTTAGCTCTCACAGAAACAAACCTCTGTTTTGAGATCTGTCCTCGCTCGGAGAGAAGTGAATTAGTGTACGTAGATGTTGACGTCACAGTCAGATTGATTGTTCTCACTGCTGATTTATGTTATTTTCTCTGTGGCGTTGACCTTTTTGCATGAATGAATGAATTATTGAACAAGAAGGCAGTCAGCAGAGTGCCTAATAATTAGCATTATTATGTATTCTATGATATTTACAGCAAGAAAACTAAAGTATGACGACAAGGCAAAGAACGTGAATGACGATAAACTTGTACTCCATTAAGCTTTGTGCTGTTGATTAATAGAAACCATGAGATCCGAGCCTCACGTGAGGGATACAATCAGCGTTGAGCCGCGGCGTGAACACAGCGACACGTGATTCACCTCCGATGTCAGACTCAAAGTGTGTGTGTGTGTTTGTGTGTGGGGGGGTCTCCGTCACGAGAGTAAAAGGGACCCACAAAAGAGCGGTTGTTGTGGACGAGTGAAGTCACTTTAGAAGTCGTCCTGTTTATTACAGGCAGTCAATGGGTCTCTGTCCTCCTGCAGTTCACTGGCCGTATTCATGGCCACTGAAAATAAGCTGTGGTCGTGACGGAGGGGTGAGGCCCTCTTTTCATGGTACGTGGACCTATAAATGTCTTTCACCCACGAAACACAACAGATTTCCAACAGGGCTGCAGGGTCCCCCCCCCCCCCCCCCAGCAGAGTTTTCTTTCACTCATTTGGAACTGAGTATTGATTTAGCTGTTTGCCTCAAATGTTCCCAACTCTAATGCTCATAAGTTTGCACTGACTTCTTCAAATGTTGTCCAACCAACAGTCAAAAAACCCAAAGATATTGTGATCACTTCAAAGAAACCAGGTAATGTTTCTGACTAAATGATCTAAATAGTTTCCTGTGTTGAGGCGTCGACTAATCCTTTCAGCTGTAAATCAAACATATGATGTAATCAATCAATCAATCAATCATTGGAGCGCCTCAGGAGAGCCGATCGTCCCCTTATTGCTGCATTGGTGGTTCATATGAAGAAGCCTTGTTAAAGCAGGTGGCAGCTCTGTTTCTCAGCACATGGTAGCACAGGATAATGATTATCATCATCATACCACATCCTAACCTCTGATATTATTGGATGTTAGCATCTCTTCATGCTGTTTCTGTTTCCTGTCATTTGGCTCTTGTGATTTTATCTCCAGGAAACCTGCTTCTGATTTCAGACTGGTAGCTGAGTGTTTTTAATCATATTAACTCATGATGAATGTAAATTCAATTGTGTTTTACTCCTACTGACAGGCAGCAAGAGATCCTTACTGCTCTGATGCTTTTATTGGGCCGATGAACCTTTAAAGTAACACAGAGCTTGTAAGCATTTGGCTGTGTGGAACTGTTCTTTGATTGTGAGATATAGATAGATAGAAGACGGAGCTGCTTGGTAATTGGCTAAAAAAAGTCAGTTTTACAGCAACTTTACAGAAATATCATCATAATCAAAAGATCAACAAGAGGTACAGTTGCTTTAACACTGTGGCTCTTCAACATCGTATCGAGATCCAACATCTGTAAACTCCTGGATTTTCATAAGTAACACAATCGGTCACTAAAACAATAAAGATGCTACATCGATGACGGAGATATCACACGGGGTCTCATTGTGGTTTATCTAACAAGTTTCTTGTTTTGAACAAACCCTAAAATCACATAAGTGCGGAATTCGCAGGTTTGTGCTGACGTTGTGTCCTCTTCGGCCTTCTGACATCAGAGTTTGTGCTTCTAAATCCTCTCTTCTGGGTTGATCACGTTATCACCATGTGTTCCCGTAGTCCGTCCGGTCCATTCTCGTGAACGTGATACCTCAGGAACGGGGAATTTCTACAAATTTCAAATGTCGACTTCGGCTCAAAGATAAACTGATTTAGAATCTGTTTTTTGGCCATAATACAATAATGAATATGCTAATTATGACACACAAATGTCCAATAGAATAAAATGATGAAGCGATGACATTTGAGGAAAGACGTGGATGCGAGGCGGTGATTCTGGTTTCATGGTACAAAGGATTATAACATCAGCTCCAGCGTGCCGCTGAGTGTGTCACCCCGTCACGGACGCACACCTAACAACCCCACCCAGTGTACGGCGGTGAATTCACACATTGTCTGCCCCGGTTGCCCCCGGCCCCCACTACAAAGACAGTGTGGGTGTTTTGTCAGTAATGAATGGTGTTGTGTTGAAGCCTTTGAGAGTGTTTGTCTGAATGAATGTCTGAAGAGGGTTTTAAATGAAACATCCAAAGGTATGCTTTCTCTGAAAAACGAAACTTCTACTTTATCTTAAAGGTTCTTCTTTTGTGTCTGCAGGTGATGTGTGTACCGGTCCTGATGGAGACGCTCTAAGGGTGACAGTAAAAGCCCCCCCCCTCCCCCCCCTGAAGTCTGCCCAGATGTTTTCTCTCGGTCAGGAAAACATCTCCACCTCCCCTGCTTCCACCAAAGGGCCAGTGAAATATGGAGAGCTCATTGTGCTCGGGTAAGGAGCTTTAACAGCTGTCGTCAAAACTACTGAAACATCAGCATGGAGCTTTAAAGGTTCTGCTGGTTCGTATGAAACCATTTGAGTAGGAAAATCTATTTCCTCTTAGAGAGTAATCTACCACAGTGGAAACTGAGTCAGCGTTATTTGAGTATCAGGAAACTTCAGTTTCAGCGTGTGGTGTTTCACACGCTGTTGAAGCTCATGTTGGCGGTGCTTTTCAGGAACACTGGGATGTCCAACAATCAGGAATCAGCTGGTAAAAGCATGCATGAGTTGAGACGCACAGTAACCAAACATTGACCATAAACAATCTAGTTTTTGTCTTTTCTTAAATGTCAAACGGTCTTCACAGCTGTCTCATGAATGCATGACCACGTGATGGTTATCAGCATGAAAACTAAATAAAGTGGCAAAGAGATAACTGCTGCCGAGTTCCCATCTCAAGAAAGTTTCAAGTCTCAACAAGCTAATTTACAGCCAGTGAAGAATGAGTCGGGCTACACCTGTACTGTTGTTCACATCAAACACGGGAGGCAGCGGCACGTAAATATACAAACGATATTAAAACTATGTGTTGGAGGTTTGCTTTGTGATAATATCATCTTCCCAGAAGCTATCACATGCAGTACCTCTATATAGGTTACACGAGAACAACGGTGTGTAAGGAGGAAGCTCATCCAAACCGAAAACATACAAATTGGTATTCTAGGAAATGAAAAAGAAAGAATGCTTGCTTTGCAATAACGGAAATATTGCATAAAAGGAAAACCACTGGCTTCTTCTTTGCTGCGTTGTGTGTCTACAGAAGGTTCGAGCACAAAACCAGGAATGTGGCTCTGACTAGTTTTTCCACAGGCTTAATGCAGTGCTATCCGGCAAGCTAGTACAAGTCAAATATTGGTGGATAGGTAGACTGTAGATGGGCTGGTAGGTGGGTTTGTTGATTGATGGATTGGTTAATGAATTGATTAATAACTATTCATCTTAAATTGTTCTGTTGCAGCAGCCTGAAGCAAAAAAGACAAAGATAATGAGCAAAAGCTTAAAAACAAACAAACAATATCGACTCGTACAAGAAGAATCCCTCTCCCTCGTGACCTCTGACCCTCTGGAAGTGTGTGGTGATATCTGTACCTGCAGAGAACCGGCCCTGCTGATTGGGCCTTTAAAATACTAGTTTATATATGATTTAATAAACACCTTATAGTACCTTGTATCATAAATACTACTTTGTGTCTTACCTTGCCAACATCTAGATGGAAGAAGGTTTAAGTGCTGTCATGACGCTTCATAGCCAGAGTTTTACAAAAAAACGACGTAGGTTTCAGTACTGTATTTTGGTAGTTCGAGAAATAAAGATGTATTTTTCTACATAACTGTTTCATTCAACAAGTCAAAGCTCTCCGATGTAAAATGTTGTCCGGACAGAAGCAGCCGTGCAATAAATTTAGTATTTTTAAATTTAAATCAGGAATTACGTGATCAGAGGTACAACTCTGTCCAGACATTTTACGCCAGCTTTACGTACTTGACAGTTTTTGATACTAGATAGATACACATGTTTGATACCCAGCCCTGCTGTGTGTTTTTAGCACTTGTTAAGCCTTTAAACTGAACTTCTTGGCTTGTATTTCATGTTGAACCTGCAGTAGAAAGCCCACACCAGTGTAGACGTTTGCATTGTTTTGACACAGCGCTCCTGATGGTCTGAAAGCCTCCTGACAAGCGTTGGTGCAGATAAGAATATGTCCACAGAAATGATTACAACACAAATCACTTCGTTTGAGCTCTGTGGGTCTTGCAGCATTTTTATGTGCAGCTTGAAATTGTTCAGGAGCAGCAAAACTCTGCCTCGTCCAGTTAAATACGTCGATGAACTCCACCACAGCAAAGAATGCAGCTGACTCCCTGAAGAAGGCCTTTCACTGAGGACACAAGAGAGCGCCTGTGGTTCAGGGAGGTGGAGACACCTCAGGAGAGTTGTGGCCGCCGCGGTTTTCAGACCTTTTGTTTGCTTTCGTATCATCGTGTCCACATGTGGAACTAAACAGTCTGCTAGACCCAGCAACTGGCAATTACACTGGTCATGAGGTTTCATTTTAAGGAGCCGTACAGTTTGTGAAAACAGAGGAGGCGTCATGTGGGGTGACTGGGCCAGCCGGTCTGAGTTTGTCTAAGAAAAGGAGGTGGCCGTCACTTTATGTGAAACGCAGGAAGTTTGCGTTACCCAGCGAAAAGAATGGCTCCACTTTTAACCGAACTCGAATGTTGACCTGACCTGCGTCTGGCTCTGAAGATAACCTCCAGCAACATTTAGCTTTCAGAATGTGCTTTTCAGATCCACGGCAGCTCAGGACGGGAATAATGTTCTGCAAATAAACGGTGTTTTGCAGATAAATGCAGTTCAGCGTAAGTTGTATTTAGCAGGCGTCCTGATGGATGGAGGGTGAACCACATTACCACAGCATCCTGCTTTTGTATGTGGACTGAAACGGTTGTTGCTCTCCAGCTTTCTCTCCCACACGCAGCTTCCTGTCTCCAGTGAAAGCTGTGAAAGAAACGTCTGGGAAACATGCTCGTTTGACTTTTAACCTGCATTAGGTAGACGGGACGTGTTTAGCCTAGCATAGCATAAAGACAGGAAGTAGGGGGAAACTGCTAGCCTAGCTTCATCAAATTGGAAGAAATAAAAAAGGCTTCAAAGCTGTCTGTTTTTAAGGCGTAGGAGGAGGAGTTTTGGTTACTTTACTTGGACTTGTTGCAGCTTTTTGACTTGGAATGACTAGAAATCCTTAAAGACGAAACTCTTTATTTATGAATCGACTCCTTATCTCTAGACACACAGTAGTCAATCGCATCGCACAAGCGGCAGAGCGTGGTGTGTTTGTCAGTGAAGACCAGCAGACAGACAACAAACGATACTGTAGATTATCACGTCAACATTTAAAGACTTAAAAGACGGGATTAACACACCAAGACGCGCGTGATCGTTTTACTTTAATCAGCTTTATTGGCCAAGCATGTGTGGAGACGAGGAATTTGACTCTGACCTTTTCTTTTCCACATAGCCTACACAGAAATAGACATAATGTAATACTTACATTTTATAACGTTTATTTGAAAGCAATGAATACAAATTTTAAAGAGCGTTTATTATTTCTGGGAATTCACATTCAGGGCACACAGGGGGCTTGTTTAGGACCTGGACTTGACTTGTTGAACAAGAAATCCTTGTTCAACACTTGTTGGTCTTGACTAAGGGTTTCTTTTCCAGGACTCGGGGCTTTGTCCCACCTCTGGCAGATAGTGTTTATTGTTTGGGTTCAGCATAATTCAGCCCAAACTCAGTGAAACGTGTCGAGAGACTCCACCACAGCAAAGAATGCAGCTGACTTCCTGACTGAAGGCCATTCACTGCGGACACAAGAGAGCGCCTGTGGTTCAGGGACGCTGGCTGGTGCGGTTTCAGACCTTTTGTTTGCTTTTGTATTATTGTGTCCAGAACTGAAATAAAGCTGTCTGGGACCCTCGGCCGTCGCACTGTATCATCACCGAAGCATAAATATTGATTTCCATTCAAATCAGTGCAGCAGTTTTGTAGATAACCCGTGTGGATCTCCTATGAATGTTGTGAGACGTTTTCCCTTCTCGTGTGTTCAGGTGCAACGGCTCCCTGCCCACCGGCGACAAGGGGAGGAGGAAAAGTCGCTTCGCTCTGTGTCGCAGGAACAAGGCCAACGGTGTGAAGCCGAGCACCGTCCACTCGTCCGGCACACCGCAGGCTGCCAAGGTGAGAGCGCAACACACAGGTAGCAGTGTTCATCAGTGACCTGTGACATGCAGCACGCGGGTGGAACCTTTAAATGTCCTGGAAGCAAGCTTTGCCTCTTGTATATTACTTTTAATGTGCTTGTGTGGGGCAACTGCAATGAACTAATGAAACACCTTATTATGTAAGTTAAGTGGTTTTTTTTATCAGTTCTGTATCTGTGCATATCACCAAGATTCCTACGGGTATTTATAATAACAAAAAGAGCAATAATGTTGTAACAGTGCGTCTCTTGTGTGTCTCTAAAGGCTGTAAGCAACAAGGAGCAGCACAGTATTTCATACACTCTGTCCCGGGCACAGACGGTGGTGGTGGAGTACACACAAGACAGCAACACAGACATGTTCCAGGTCTGTAGCGTCCACTACCTCTACTTCAGTTATAAAGAACAAATTCAACTATTCATGGTTTACATACAAGGATTAGACGCCTACCTGTCAGTTTAAAGGGACAGTTCAGTTTGTCCTCCTACCTGTGGTGCTTTTCATCAGTCCTAGTGCTTTTCCTAGTTTTAAGTCTCTTTCCGGTGCTATACATTCCCAAAATATTTGAGTCAAAGGCAGACATCTCTACGGCCGATGTCTCCAACACTCAGCAACTCACACCAAAACAATGTAGATTGATAAATATCACTACAGGTAAGAGAGAAAAATATGTTTTTTTTGATTTTGGGGTGAACTGTCCCTTTAAACGGACTCAGCCGGGGTTTGTTTTCACTCAGCAGCAGAGTTTTAGGTTTCATAATAAAGGCTTTATTCTCTTAAACCTGCCTTTTCTCCCTTTCAGTAAATTTAGATAATTGTTATTTTCTTTCTGTTAGTCATTCGTCAGTGAAATCTTCTAAGAGCTAAGCTAAGAGAAAAAACTTTGACTTTGTTCTTGTGTTTGTTTTTTGACCACCAGACATTTTGCATGTTGCACTATGTGGGTTTCAGAAGCCTGTGGATTTGCTTTAAGCAATAAAAAAAGCCCCAATTGAGGAGTTAGAAACATAAATGAGAATCAACAAAGCTGCGAACAAATTGCTGTGATAAAAATTCCAGAAACTCTCCGGGTTTTTTTTAAACATAAATAAAGTTATGTAATCATAGTTTTGACTGTTCGTGCATGTTTCTTGTAACACCATCACCATAAACGTTGTCTCTGTGTCGTTACAGATTGGTCGTTCCACAGAGACTCCCATTGACTTTGTGGTGACCGACACGCTGCCCGGTGGCCACGGCCCTGCCGACGGTCAAACGGTTCAGAGCACCATCTCCCGCTTCGCCTGCCGCATCATCTGCCAAAGAAACCTTCCTTACGCCGCGCGGATCTACGCCGCAGGCTTCGACTCCTCCAAGAACATCTTCCTCGGGGTAGGCTGCAGGAAGTGGAGCCATCACAGCGAGTCATTACTAGATTGATGGATTAATTAACAAGCCTTGACGTCACTCACAGGAGAAAGCAGCCAAGTGGAGGATGCAGGACGGTCAGATGGACGGACTGACCACCAACGGCGTTCTGGTGATGCACCCGCGCCACGGCTTCAGCCAGGGCTCTAAACCTGGTCTGTGGAGGGAGATGTCCGTCTGCGGCAACGTCTTCACGCTGCGGGAAACCAGATCATCTCAGCAGAGGGGAAAGATGGTGGGTGACTCCAACCGGCTCTTCATGGGAGCTGTAGTCTTTCTTTAACGTCAACATCGTCTAAAGGGGCCCTGTGGAAGTTTTGTTTGAAGTCGGTGTTTGTCCTCAGAAGGCATAGTGTGTGTGTCCCTGAGGTCTAACAAACACACTTAGTTTGTTGTTCACTCTGTTCTTTCTTTGCTCATTACTGCCACCAGCTGTCAGGCAGGAATATTTATCATGTCTTCTGACTCGCGGGACATTACGTGCAAAATAATGGACATCATTTATGGAATATACACTTACATGATCTTGACATTTGACACTGTACACACTTCTATATGCGACCTTACTATAAACATTGTGTCTTTTTCAGGCATCGTGTGTTTGCGCTCTTTGTATTTCCACTCTTTCTTACATTGTACTGCAGAAGTTGCTCAGGATAAATACAGTTCTATCTTATCTTATCTTATCTTATGTGCATGATACAAACAAATATTGCTCCATAGCGCTACTAGAGGTTAAAAACTCCACAGGGTACCTTTAACTTTGTGAAACCTATGAATGCTTTAAATAATAATATCAAGGTCTGTTCTATGTTAATCTACCTTTAAAATATGTAAACCCCAGGAACATGTTTCACATTTTCAGAGAAACTCTCAGTTGATTTACAGGATCTACTTGAGCAGCAAGGACGCCACGTCTTGAATTTGACTCTCATATACTAATGTAATATCTTCTGCTCGTCTCTCCTTCAGGTGGACCCCGAGTCTAACGAGCTGGTGGACGGGTCCCTCGTCGACCTCTGCGGTGCCACGCTGCTGTGGCGGACGGCCGAGGGCCTGGCGCACACGCCCACCTTCAAACACCTGGAGGCTCTGCGGCAGGAGCTGAACGCCGGGCGGCCGCAGTGTCCCGTGGGGCTCAACACGCTGGCCTTCCCCAGCCTCCGCCGCAAAGACGTCGTGGACGAGAGGCAGCCCTGGGCCTACCTGCGCTGCGGCCACGTGCACGGCTACCACGGCTGGGGGGGCCGCCGCGACCCCGAGGTGGAGGCGGAGTGTCAGGAGAGAGAGTGCCCCATGTGCCGGACGCGGGGCCCCTACAAGCCGCTGTGGCTGGGCTGCGAGGCGGGCTTCTACGTGGACGCGGAGCCCCCCACCCACGCCTTCGTCCCCTGCGGTCACGTCTGCTCGGAGAAGACGACGGCGTACTGGAGTCAGATCCTGCTGCCGCACGGCACGCACACCTTCCACGCCGCCTGCCCGTTCTGCATCGAGCCGCTGGTCGGAGAGTCCTGCTGCATCAGACTCATCTTCCAAAGCCCGCTGGACTAGAAACCACCCAGACTGTCTCAAGCCTTAAAACAGCATTAGGGTGGACAGAACTATATGCTTTGAGGGTTTTTTTTCATAACTTAATTTTTTCTAACTTAATTTTGACCAATATAAATGTATTGTGTTGCCCTTGTTATGAATATCATAAATGATTCAGGCAGTGTTTGTCCCTGTACACAGCTGCCAGATGTTTGATTTGCCTTACACTTTTTATATTTTGTATTTATTCCTTTACCTCTTCAGTAACAATGAGTCAATTCTGTGAATCAATGCAGAATTCAACAGCTGATCACTGTCTCACCCTGCCTTAATAAAGAGCCGTCAACACTGAGACATGCTCACCAGTTTGGTTTGAGTCCAGTGTTTCAGCGTCTCGCTGTGATCCACTTCCTGTTTTTATGCAGGAGCTTCTCATGATCCATAACATATTTCTGTATTTGATCCTTTTCTCTAAAGTGACCTTCCTCTGTAACGCTGTTGCCTCTTTGAATGCAGAATAACTGTATCTTTTTATCTTAACAAGCTTTTATCATGACTTTACAAAAATATATTCTTTGGGAAACATTTTAAGCTGCTGTCAGTTACTTGAAACAAACGCATACAACCTGAATGTCTTTTCCTAAATAAAATACAAATGTACGTCAGGCATGAATGACAATAAACCAGCATTGTTCAGTTGTTACATAAAGAATAAACACTAACAACACTTCATGTTAGATGTTGCAGGCTTAAAGGTATACTTGATTATATAATATATATTTGTAATGACAGTAGGCCCTCTATAGCATTAAATCAATCCACTATTTAGTATCTGAAGATCTTTAGTTATAGCTAGTTAACTAGTTAGTTAGCAGACTTTAATCTTCAAACAATCACAGGCATAGCCGGTCATTTCTCTTATTCAATGTTCTCAATGTCCAACACCTGTTTCTGTTGCACAGGGTCTATCTAACTAAGTGTCCTTATTTCTTTTTTAAATTTCCTACATGAATAATCAGTTTTAGTGTCGTCTCGTATGCATTTTTTCCTCCTGTTTTGAAGCGAGAGCAATGGCTGTCCCGGACCGCAGTCCCCAGCAGTTGAATTGCGAGCTTTTGGGTGTCGTCCCTAATTTCATTTTGTCCTCTCCTGGAATATGCAGGGTGTCCCACGGCCGCGTATACTCCTGGTACCTGCAAGAGACGAGAAAACAAATGTGTCCTCTATATATAATAATAAGAATACTCGTGTTATTAGTGTCAGTCAGTAGGGGCAGAAATGCTTTTTCTAAGTAGCCCCATATTATATGAAGATGTTGATTGTCTTAATAATGAAATATTAATACTAATAATAAATGCTTTCTTGTGGCCACCAGGTGGCACTATCGGTACCAACACCCAATAATTCTAGCCTGAGGTTATTTCCAACATTCTGATTAATTATTTATTTATTTAGCTTATGATTTTCAATACCGTACCGATATAATACCTACATTTTAGTACTCGTACCAAAGAAAATAATATTTTCCGTACCCCTGATCATACTGTATATAGTGTTTTTCTACTAAAACTATTAATTTTATTGATGAAATGAGTTGCCAAAGCACGCAGCCAAATATCTTAATATCTTAACAACGCAGGTCTGACAATAGCCTCTAATGTTAGTAAAAAAAATGCATTTAACTGTGGGAATACATTTTGTATTATTTAGTATGTAAAGGGGAACAACATCATACAGTGCAAGTTATGCCTTCCAGCTGTGAAAATGCACGAGAAGTGTGAATACCATGAAGTCGTTAGCCCTCATTTAAATGCACATAGTATGTTTTTATACAAAAAGTATGTTGCATCCAGAAACACGGACGTAGTTTCACTCATAGAACTTTATTACAACAAAAGACAATCAATCAAAAATAAAAGAAAATGAGAATGTGTCCCGGTGTCCTGGCTGGTGGGAAGGGAACCTTCAGGGACCTTCAGGAACCTTCAGGAACCTTTTCATACCTCCGAGCTCATTTCTTCCCCATGCGTGCCCTGTACTGCAAGAGACGAGAACACAAAATAGTCATACAACACCAAGATCAATCTAATTCAGAAGCTTTGATTTTGAGTTATTTTTCATGACTATAACTTACTTTGCCATCATGTCCTCCCTCTTTAGGTTTGTGGCTGGTCGGATGACAAACACAATTTTGTGTTGATAATTCCTAAAACATTTTAGAACATAATATGAGATGGTACGGTGGGCTTCTGTTGAGCTACGGGCTTCGGGTGCCGTCCACTGAATGGACTTGTCCTCCCCCGGGAGAGGGCGGGCGGCCCATCCCCTCTGATACTCACGGTGCCTGAACGAGACCGGAACAAAAAATGTGTCCATTATAATCAAATTCACAACTGTTAAAACTTTGATTTTAAATCATTTTCATAACTTACTTTGCCATAACGTCTGTCTTTTTGATTGTGTTTATTTCTTCCATTTCTGGTCGGATGACAAAAACGATAACATGAATTGGCTAACGGTTAACGGCTAACGTTAGCTAACTAAGCTAACAGCGACTAGAACCTTCGATTTATTAAAGTTTTCAGGATAAATACATGCTATTTTTGCCGGTACAACGCTACGGGACAATGTATGCTGTCTGTTGAGTCTGAAATAAAGTTTTGATTGATGGATTAATTGACAGAATGATTATGTGTGTTTAAACTAGTCACCCACTTCTCACCCCGCTTCTTCGTCATCTGACAGATAACGGCAAATCTCAACGGCTGATTACACACAGATATAACGTTACGTCACTGTGCGTTTGCGATTTACAATTTATAATATTTAAATTTTGTTTGTTATTCAACGATCCTGTTGAGTATGTGTGAATTGTATCTTATTGAGATATTTTTATTTAACGTTAATTTATGTATCTATTAATAATTCCTGCGGAAATGACGTCTCACCGAGCTCTATGGGCACGTCCCAAGTCTCTTAGGGCACATCCCAAGTCTGTTAATTGCATCCCCGTTTCCCTCACTTGTGCCTTTCCTTGTGTCTTAGTCCCTCCCACCAGGGATGCATGGATGCTGTGATCAGCTGATCCTATGTCAGCAGAAACAGACTCGCTTCACGTGACGATACAGAATAAAGGAGGTCTCATGTATCTTAAAACCTATTTCCTCGTTTCCTCTTTCCTTGCGTCTCTCCGTGCATCCCTGGTGGGAGGGACTAGGACGCAAGTGAGGGAAACGGGGATGCAATTAAGAGACTTGGGATGTACCCCCAGTTGTGTGTTTTCTCCTCCGCCATTGTTTCCTGTTGCTGGTGCCAAAATGCATTCTGGGATATTTGGCTGTCCCAAGTCCACATAAGTCTCCCCGGTAAAATGGGCGGAGCAAGTCAAATCCGGGCATTTGGACCGTGTGTGGCTCGTTCCGGACTTTTGAATTGGAGCTGTACTTTGGGCTGAGACTGATGATGTTTCACAAGTCCACGAGAACACAAGTACAGACAAGAAGAAGCATATTTAAAAAAGGCCCATTAATGTGAAAGAGATGTTTATTTCCTGGTTATTCAACGTGGGTCCTGAAAAGCCACTCCTACGACACATCTGCCTCACGCACGCGAATATCACCAGTTAATTCAACACCAGTTAATGTCGCACACACCGGTGTTCCTCCGGTGTTTCCTGTGATGGTGAAGAGGAGAAGAGCCGGCTGCTGTGCTTCACACGACAGGTATGTGAAGCGACTGATGCTCTGCAGGCACACGGAACTTCTCCCGGTTTGTCTCTTGTTTTCATTTCGCCTGTCAGAATGATAGCTGTCCGGCTAACCTGCTAGCATTAGCTAGTCTACGTGTAACCGCAGATTGGACTCGCTGACAACATTAGCTTTAGCATTAGCTAGTCTACGTGTAGCCGCTGATTGGACTCGCTGACAATATTAGCTTTAGCATTAGCTAGTCTACGTGTAACCGCCGATGGACTCGCTGACAACATTAGCGTTAGCTTTAGCATTAGCTAGTCTACGTGTAAGCGCTGATTGGACTCGCTGATTATAATTAGTCATGTACTGTACTTTAAGTACACATTTGAGGTACTTTTACTAAACTAGCCAACAATATATAGGTGTTAAAAACATCTAGAGCGTCAAAATGCAGCACACACACATGAATGCAGCAGTGCTATTAATCCAGAAACCTCATATATTATAGTAAAACACTGCCAGAGAACATTTTACTGCACAATTTGTACTTAAACTTGAAGTACTTTAAGTATATTTTTGATGCAGGACTTTTACTCAGTGTAGTGGAGTATTTTTTTGTTTTGTTTACAGTGTGGCATTAATACTTTTACTTAAGTACAGGATCGGAATACTTATTCCACCTCTGGAAAGCAGTGCAGTGATTTGACATTTCAAGCTAACTTTACTAAACCTATTTAAAGTGTGATATTTATCCCCTACTATTTTAATATTGGGATTGATGAGAAGTAACATTAAGATTTATGGGGTAAAACCACTTAAATTAATGTTAAACAGACTTTTATTCAACCCTACACTTTGCTTATCTCAGTTAGCCTTTACAATAATGATTAATAAGTTTGATTAATGAATACATTCTCGATTTATTAAATGTATTTCCGGTTAGTTAATCGAGGCATACATTCAGCAATTTAAGGAACCATTATTTATTCTATAATAAGAAGAGAGAAACTAAATTTTACACCAATTTTACACATAAAGGTATTAAGATTTGATACAGCCTGTGAAAATAGTTGTACTAATATCTTGTGTAAACCACAACAAGCTCTATCAAGTCTGAGAAAATGACCCCGAGTAGGTCATCGTGACGTCATCAGGTTGTTATTGTTTTTTAGATACGGCCATATTAGTCTTCAGATCAACAAAAGGGTTTTAATGAAAATACATTAAATGTAGGATTTTTTGGAGTGTTTGACAATTATTTCCTGCTTCGATTCTAACCTTCGTTTTTTAATCTGTCTTTTCTGAGTCCCTTAAACTTCATGGACGTGCAACACTGAATTGCTTGAATCATCAATTTAAACTCGTAGAGCTTTTGCTGAACTAAAAGTCACTTAACTGTAGGAACCTACAGAAATATTACTCTGGTATACTGATCGCAGCAGGATTATCTCTGTTGGGTTTTATGTAATCTACTCATCATTTTCTGATTTATTGTGTTTCCACTTTGTTGAAATCATTTTCTTTTGGTCAAACAAAATGAACAAGAGGAGGAAGTCTTGGCCTGAAACGCTGCTTGTTAATTCTGGAACTTCTCTGCTCAACACTAATCTTTTTATAATTAAGTATTTATGGAAACATTTTTCAGAAAAGCATCTTTTTACAAACAGTGGACCAATGGTGATGGAAACCCAGTAAATAATGTCTATCTATCAGAATACAGACCCAAATGGCAATTACTATTTTACAGCAAACAATAGGGCCTTTAATCTGTGAGGGTCCTACTCTTATTTTAATGTGCATCACCGAACCCTCTAAAGCAGCACGAAAACAAATCTGACTAGTATTTCTATTTTTACCTCACAGACGTCACGGTCGCTGGAAACAAGCAGCCAGGCTGGCTGTGAGAGTCTGAAGTTTTACACTTTGAAATGTTTATTCTGTCAATGAAAATGTGACGATGCGACAGTTTTTCATGCATTGGACAGAATGAGCTAAAAGCAGTGGTGGTAACAGTGAGGCTGCAGACCTTTCCTCTCATACTGTCATCAGTGTGACGGGATTAACAGCAGAGGCTCTTACACCTCCACAGTCTGAGAACAACACCTCTCTGCTTCACATCCTGTGTGCCGCTCGGTCATTTAGTCTTTCTCTGTGTCATCATTTCTTTGTAAAGGACCGATGAGATGAATGTAGCACTGAACAATCGAGAAGAGTCACAAATAGTGCTGGTATTGTACCTGAGTTTTAGGGTTGCGTTCATTTAATATGACTATTGTTTATCGGTGTATTGGCATCAAACGGACATATTTAGGGACCAGTTGGTGAAAACAGAGAGAGAATACTGGACTCACAGTCCTCAGGTGGACACAAACGTGACTCCAACAGTATTATACTAATCCTCTCTGTCTCTGAGGTTTGATTTACGGTTTCAGACAATTAGAATGTTATATTATTGGAAAATGCACATTATTTTCCTTTCATTTAGTCTTTTACTGTATCTAACGCCAGCTATTTTTTGTGTCCGTCTGTCTCCAGCTAGCCTCCTGGGAGGCGAGTCCCAATGCCATGGCCTCCAGCCACGGCTCCTCCCCAGTGCCCCGTGGAGGCCGAGATGGGATCTACCACAAGGAGCGGGACGCCCCGCCCGCTCGATGCCGGTCCGTCCGCTCCCTGCCCGACGTCTGCCCGAAGGAGCCCACCGGTGGGAACAGCTGCAGTCCTTAATGTTTTAACATTTGTGCACATCATTTAATGAGTTAATTTAGTTAGCTAATAGAATGAAAGTAGGGAAATGTTTGTTTTGTACCACAAACAGTCTAAAACCCAAAGATATTTAATAGAATTCAATAAAACAAAGAAAACGAGCAAATGTTTAAATTTGAGAAGATAGAACCAAGATATGTTTTTATTTTATTGATGACAGTTGGAGGTTAATCAGTTTCCGTCGACGGACTACTGGTACAGACATTACAACATGTTATAACATTTAGTAATCTCTGTTTTCCTGCAGGTGAGAGGCGGGGCCTGTGTGACGGCCCGTCCGTGGTGGCGGAGCACGACAGGTGGACGGTGTACAGCTCCAAGGTGAACCTCCCCGCCGCGCTCAACGACCCGCGGCTCGCCAAGCGGGAGTCCGACTTTTTCACCAAAACATGGGGGCTCGACTTCGCGGAGACCCAGGTGATGCCCTCCTTCTACCTCCCCAACATCACCAGGGAACACTTCGGACCTTACCTGCAGGAGATGGCTCAGGTAACACACCCACACTGAATTATTCAGAGGAAGGATTCACTCGGCATCACTGCTCAGACCTCAGCACACTCACTGATTGAAGCTTTCTGCTGGTGAAGGAGGGCGGAGCTTTGGACCTGATCATGTGACTTGTTTATCTGTGTATGTTCGGCCGATCGTCCGGGCCGCACTGACACTGATATTTACAGAGTGATGTTTTGACAGTATGTTAATGTCATACCAGCAACATTGCTACAGTAGGTCTATATCTGTAGAAAAAGCTCTGGGCTTGAAAGAAAGTTAGTCATTATTTTTGACCCAACACTTTTGTTTCAAAATAAAAGAATCCCGTTATCTGTTAATAAAAGGCTTTTATTTTGAAATATTTGCCGGTTCGTGTTGTGGAAAACTCACGGCTCCATAAATGAATAGAATACCTGCTTTTAATTGTGGAGTGTTATTATTATTTACAAATGAGCACACGTGTCTTAACTGATTTCTGTCTAAAATAAATATAAATAACGTAGTGAAATGAAACCTTCTGGCCGATGTCAAAATCAAACTGTAGAAAAGCCGGTCTGGCAGCAGCAGAAGCAGCGCGTGAGGTAACCGTCGCACACAGTGTGGCCCGGGCGTTACCTTGCCATGCCGTACCTTACGTTGTGGGTGTGTCATGAATCCTGTTAGAGCAGTTTCCGCTCCTACCGTTCTTTTTTTTGTTTTAGTCTCAATACAGCGACCTTTGGAGATGTGAGAGATTTAGATTTAGAGAGAACATGTTTTTATCTGTTTAAATTCAAAATACAACATCATCTGGATAGAAACACACTTACCAGTTTTAGTGTCCCTTCCTTTCATCCTGTGCCGTGTAATCTCAGAAATGAAAAGTATGAAACTGGTTTTACTAGTTTCTGGGTGTGAACCTTTTATATGTCCTCACGCTACAAGTCATTTATCTATTTTCATATTTACAATTACGGAGAAGCAATTGTTAGCAATGAAAATCATAAATCTCAGGCTCCCGCCATCAATGGACATAAAATACGTATAAAATAAAAATCACAAAAGTAAAAAAAGTTAAAGATATACGAAGGTCGTATTGTTGTCTCTTCTCCTTCGGTGTTCATGATCGCTGTGGTTGTTGTCGAGCTGCAGTGGTGCACCACAGACGGAGGAACTTATGGGAAACACTTGCATGCACACAGGAAAACACGAAGGAGGAGCCGCGAACATTGAAGGCATCTGTGTTTTGTCAACATGGTTAATAAGACATCTGCTCATACAACAGTGTGTTATAATGACTTGGCTTTATATCCATTCCCTTATAGCTGTGAAAGGAAATGGAGGTTTTTAAATTGGTTATAAAACTCCTCAGATGAGCAGAGTGTGGTTTCACTTTGAGGCTTTTAGACTTCGTTACCTGAACCGACTCCTTTCAGTTCCCGTCAGAGCCGTCTAGTTTTTAACAATGTCGCTGACATCGGCATCTGTTTGTCATCTCGTTTCCTCCTTCGGGTTTCAGAATGATGTGCGACAATAAATAAGACGAGAACAGCTGTCAAACATTCCTCTGATGCTGCTTTATTGTTCTCATCTAAAAACAGGAAGGTTGACCTTTGGAAGCTCTCGTGTTTTTGTGATGGAACACCACCCTCAGGCCAGACTTGACATTTCACACGAGGAGTTGTTGTAGATGTTCAGTTTTAACATAAAACTCCTGAATCATTTTTTTTTTTTTGTCTTTCTGTGTTTTTATTTTTAGAGGGAAAGAATCCACGAAAGCTGCAAGACGTTCTGTCCCAACAAAGACGACGTGGACGCTGCTTCCAGTGTCGCCACCAACCACGGTATGAATTATGAACCCTGCAGGAAGTGGAGACTGTTGTGAACATGAGATATACTTTCTATACTATAGATGAGTAATGGGACAGTTTGGTTCTGACTCTTTGCACTTTTCACAAACCAAAACAGTTTCAGTTTTCCTTTGGATCACTTCTGAGAATGTCTTTTCGTAGTTTAACCTTTCAGTAATTCCTCCAAATCGTTCTGATAATTGTGTTCTATACGCTGCACATTTTCATTTTTCATCTATTTGTTTTACCGGTGTATTTTATTACTGTTTCTTCAGTTGTTTTTGTTTTGTGTAAAGTACTTTGACGTTGGTTGAGTTGTGCTATACTAAAAGCCTTTTGTAATTTAAGTTATTACAGTACTTTTGTACATTTGTATTTATGTTGATTGTAACAAACGCATGCTTTATAATAGCAGGAAATCCTTCACAAGCTTCAAAAACAGGTGTCATCTTCATGTTTCCGGTGATTTTCATCCACAATCAAAATGTTGTTCCACAGAAACAAAATACTTTAGTATCAAACAACTCGTTCAGAATGTAAAATAAGCTGAAACACATCTGACTTATCGAATCACAAACGACGTTTCTTGTTTTTAGACAAATCCAGAGCTGAGCTGGAACAAGTCCCGAAGGTAACGTTTTTATTTTCCATTGGTGTGCTAGAACAATGTAATGTATTTATTTTATTTTTTTTAAGTCTAATATATTAACTTAATCTTGTGAATGAACTTAGTCCTCAGGGTGTTTTAGTTTTATAACTACGCTGTCTCCACTGTTGACTTTACTCACTCAAATATAACAAATAAACACACGGATATAAATGGAATGTATTGTTTATTAAAATAATGTTATCTGATAACAGATCGGCCTGTTTTCACCGACATCCGATCCAGATGTTTGAGTCATTATTGGACCGACATGTCTGGATGTCTCACAATGTTTGTCTGTGTTTGAATTTGCAGATCTTCATGAAGCCTGAATTTGCCCTGGAGGACCCCGCCACCTTCAACAGCGTGCTGCCCTGGTCGCACTTCAACAGTGCCGGAGGGAAGAGCAGCAGAGACGTGGCCTCCTCCAAACTGCTGCAGGAGAAGGTGAACTCGCTCATCCGCTCTGCAGAAAATACGCACCTCACGCCACTCTGGCTTTTCTCACAAGTGTAACTTCAACTTGAGCTCCGTGCCTCTTTCTCCAGCTGAGTCACTACCTGGACGTGGTGGAGGTGAGCATCGCCCGGCAGATCTCGCTGCGCTCCGATGCGTTTTTCCACGCCATGTCCTCGCAGCACGAGCTGCAGGACCGGCTGCAGGAGACGCAGCGGGCCGTGGCCGTCCTGCGGGGCCGGACCGCCGCCATCGATCGGATCATGTGCCAGGGGCCTCTGCAGGCCCTCCGCACCGCCCTGACCCGCAACAACTGCGTGAAGCTGCACAACAAGCTGAAGCTGATGGCGGCGGTGCATCAGACGCAGCCCACCGTGCAGCTGCTGCTCTCCACCTCCGAGTTCGTCGGAGCGCTGGAGCTCATCTCCACCACCAAGGAGGTGCTGCAGCAGGAGCTGCAGGGAATCCACAGCTTCAGGTGAGGAGAGAGGGGGGACAAAGGGAATTCTCATCTGGCTTTACTTTCACTAATTAGTTAGACTGTGCAATCTGTTTATTCACAAACAGACAATGTTCTGGGTTTTTTGCCTTTTTTGGTTCAATAGTTGATAACAGTTTAGCAAAGATGAAAACATGAGGCTCAATCTTCACAGCAGAAGATGAATAGTTTTAATGTGAAAAGACAGGAAGTCAGGAACCACACAAACTTTAGCTGTGATGCTACTGACCGTCTGTCTCTCTGTCTGTCTGACCTTCTGTCTGTCTGTGTGTCTGCCCCTCAGACATCTGGGCTCCCAGCTGTGCGAGCTGGAGAAGCTGATCGATAAGATGATGGTGGAGGATTTCAGCATGTACGCCCGCAGCGACCTGAACCGCGTCCTGAAGGACGAGCCGCTGGTCCTCGAGAAGGTCTGAACAAAGTCCTCCATCACCTCCAGAGCATTCATTCATTCATTCCCGTGTTTGTCACCTTTTTATATGTGAAACCCTCTTCACACACAGTGTTCAGCCCCAGTTGGGAATAATAGATATGTAGGTTGTCCTTCATGTAATAATACATTTAAAGATAAAACAGGTAAAATAAATAATAAAGCGAGGAGAGTCCTTTGTGAAACATCCAATAATATCCGGGGGGATTTGTAGATGGAAGGTGGAAGTTTACATCCAAAAACAGCTTTAATGCAAACGTTCTGTTCTGACGAGGTCGCTCTGTGCGGAGTGCGTTTTTAAGCAACAATTGGCTTTTGAGTTTGTGATGAACTAAATTTAGCTTTCAAGGTTCGTTTGAATCTCAGGTTTTCGTGCACAGACTTCTGTCCCTTCATTCACTCACAGAGACACTTCACAGTTAGATGAAGTGAACTGTTGCGTATTTAACGGATGATCTGCTCGTCACAGGTCCACAACACAAACGCTGCCTCACAGAAGGTGGGACACACACACACACACACACACACGCACACACATGGAAATCACGCCTGCTGCTGAAATCCGGCTCAGTTGTCTCAATGTGGATCAGTGATCAATCACATCGTGAGTTGTTTGTTTTAATGTGCTTGGCGTGCCAGATGGGTGGAGTTAACTGCTTCAGATGATTCGGATGATGTCATGTAGGCAATCAAAGCTCATTGAAACCACTAAAAGGTTTCTGATTGTGTTTTAAACGGAAGTAGAACATTTGTACACACGTTTTAAATCCCTCTGGTCTCCAAGCAGGTTAAAGAAACACCATGAATACTTTTTGTTTTGATTTTATTCATACTGAAGAATAATCTTTGGGCTTGGCGGTGTATTTGTTGCAATTTAACATAAATTCAATCACATTTATTCTCATTCGAATCGTATAGAGATCAATAAAGTGAGGATTTTGATATTGTGGTACAATATCAAAATCTTGTATTTGTTTGATCTGTGGTTAGAAATCCTAATTTACATCAACTTGAATCACATTTCTTGCCGAATGAAGCGCTGCCGTCTGTCTATTTTGACCTGCTGACATTTAGAATCTGCGCTTTTACTGTCGAGGACTCGGTTTATGTTTTAACACTTAGTGTGTGTGTGTGTGTGTGTGTTTCAGGAGCGTCTGGAGTCTCTGGTGTTCGGCCTGCTGCGGCAGAGGAAGCTGGACTTTCTGGATATTTACAGCGATGAGACGATCATGGCCGCTAAGGCCATCGTCTCTCAGGTAAAACCCCCCGACTCCCGACTGTGTGGAGCACGTTATGAACTACAGATCCATCATTTAGTTATTATGGGAGTGTTAATCTGACATGTTTGTGTGTTTCAGTGTGTGGTAGAAAATGTTTTGAACATAGAAGATATTGACACTGAAGTCGTCACAAAGTGAGTAGAGCTGTGGATGTAACGGAGTATTTCTATTGTGTGGTTTTACTTTTACTTAAGTAACAGATCAGAGTACTTTGTCTTCCACTGCTATGAACGTTCTCTAAAATGTACTACATCAATGTACTATCTCCATCTCTCTCTGTCTCTCTTAGTGAGTTATCGTTATAACAGGAAATGTGTGATGGGTTCAGTTATGAGTCATTTTAAACTTTGAAAGGAAGCATGTCTGCTAACGCTTATCAATAATAAGCAGATAATCCTCACAGAAGTTGTCACGTACGAATTTGCATATGTGCTGACTCTCGTGCGTGTGGGGGCTTACTTTGAAGAATGCAATCACTCCATACGAACAACTCAAAGTGCTAAAAGAAGTGAACAGGATGTTAACCTTATGTAATGTGTGTGTGTGTGTGTGTGTGTGTGAAGGCTATTTGACCAGATGCGTCTGATGACGTTCCCTCAGTGGTTCGAGCTGCTGAGAAACATCTTTGAGAGTTTCCTTCTCTTCCTGCAGAGGATCAAGGTGGGTGAATCCATTTTATGTAACAAAATAATCTCGGCTCGCAAGTCTCCTCAGAAGTCTTCTGGAGCTTTCTACCGTCTCTATACTGATGCACGGGTGTCATCAGGTGCTCGTGCTCCTACAGAGACGATCAAACATGACTGAATGCATCTTTCGTTTCCCTGCTGTCTGTCAGGCCACGCTGAGCGTGATCAAGAACGTGGTTCTGGAGGTTCTGGCCTCGAACCAGAGGAACCGGCTCCTGGAGGAGGCGGCCGGATCAGGGGCTTTGGTTCAGGAGGCCCCCCGCGTCCCGTCGCTCCTACAGGGGGAAGCCGAGCTGGCCTACCTCACCCACGAGGGTCTGTTCATCAGCGACGCTCTGAACGAGGCTCGGCAGCAGCAGCAGCAGCAGCAGCTGGTTCAGGATCAGAGCTCTGCCGTGGGCTCCAGGATCCAGCAGAGTCGGGCGGAGGCAGCCGGCAGCGACTCAGCAGAGACCTCCATCATCAGGGAGCAGAGCTTCATGTATGTCACCGGAGAGTTCTCTCTTCCGTTTCAATGTTTAGATATTTGTGTCCATCTTTGTTCTATTTTTTTGCGTAATGAAATACAAACTTAAAGTAAGGCATGGCGGCTTTCTTTATATTCAAAGAGCTTAACATAAGCAATAAAAGGCATTTAAATGATATTTATAAACAACAAGCAATAAAAAAACTAGAATAAAATCAGACAAAATAAGAATGGTATAGAACTGAAATACAGCTAAACTGCAGTAATATGTTGTATGTGATTCTTTAGATAAAAACAAGATGATGTGAAGCACGTTAACTGTTAACTGTTGTCTGTGATTGTGCGTTTGTCTGCAGGTCCGGTGAGAACATGATGCCCTCTGATCTGGAGCTGAACCGTGTGATCAACAACCTCCAGGAGCTGCTGCACACCGCCTCCGACGTCAGCCACGACCGCTGCGTCAAAGTCCTCACAGCCAGAGCCAAGGTACAGTGACATCACGATGACGTCATCATCAAAACCAAAGCCCCTCGTGGAACATTACCACACATCTGTGAAGGAAAAACTAACATTTTATTTAAAGGCTGTGTGAAATCTTTGACGAGTTGAAAAGGTTCGACGCTCATTAAAACCTAAATGTTTTAATGAGTAAGCGTGTGGAGGTTTGATGGGACCTCACCGATCGTCTCCGTCTCCCAACAGGACGGCTCTCTGGCACGTCTGAGCTCGGCCGAGTTTGTGTGCCTCTCTCAGGCCGTGGAGGGTTTCGTCCGGGACACGGAGGAGCTGTGCAGCAGGCGCAGCGTCTCCCTGAGGGGGGCGCTGCAGAGCCAGGCCAACCGCTTCGTCCACCGCTTCCACGACGAGCGCAAGACCAAACTCAGGTTACCCTGCACATCAGAAATGTAGTGATATGCTGATGTCGCGTAGGAAAGAAGAGGCTGAGGAGCAGCAGTTAAACCCTTCATGACATTTCTGTGCTGGTTTCATAACGTTCAGTTTGACTTCCAGTTGTTGACTTTGATGTTTGTTGTTTTTCAGCCTCCTCTTGGATAACGAGCGCTGGAAGCAGGCCGAGGTTCCCGCTGAGTTCCAGGATCTGGTGAACTCCATCGCGGATGGAAGAATAACACTACCGGAGCGCAAAATCCCAGGTACCCTGAACCCCCCAAACCTTTAGGGATATCGGCTCTTTACTCCTCTCTGCTTTTCCTTTAAGAAGTTTCAAACTGTCCGTCAACGACGGCAGAAAAACCTCCAAAAGCTGTGATGTGAGAAGTTACTGGAAAATGCTGACAGTCACTTTATTATGAAACATCGTCGCACTTATTCACCAACAAGGAGCTGCTTTTAACTTCACAAAGACATGCAGTTTTAGGCTTCAGAGTTTAGTTGTTAGTTTTATGGTTTCAGACACAAGTTTGAATCAAATCTAAAATGAATGTTTGCAAAGCTGTAAGCTTATACAGGAAAGAATTGCTTTAAATCACGACTTACATTGAGTGCATTCACACCATGAAGCAGCAAAAAATGGGAGTGTATCCCTTTAAATGAATAAAAGCATGTTCAGTGCACCAATAAGGAGACTGGTGTTCAACAAACAGACTCTGCGTTAACAGACTGAGGAGATGTTTGGACTGACGTGTTTCTAGAGTGCTCCATCAATACGTTATAGTAGAGCCGTATCAATAACCTGTCCCAGGAAGCATTTATGATTAAAAACAAAGACGTCGAGCAGAACTCTATTACTACAAGTGAGGATTTGCAGACTTCAGCTGTGACATGTTGTCGTTCTGTGTGCAGCTCCAGAGGACAGGAAGCCCGCCGAGTTTCTGCTCGTCAACGGGCAGAAATACGCCGTCGTCGGGTACGTGAAACCAATCGCACAGAAACGGTTGACGTTCACGACTATTATGCTGATGCAGTGAAAATATCCACAAAATAGAAATGTTGTGACGGTCGTCTTTCTGTCTCTTCAGGACGGTTCTGCTGCTGATCCGGATCTTTCTGGAATACTGTCAGTGTGTCAACGACATCCCGTCCATCGCCACCGACATGCTGACGCGTCTGTCGGACCTCCTCAAGGTCAGAACCGCCTCCAACACTCGGACCACGTCCCTGTGTGAACCCTAACGGTCCCTGCAGGACGTCCCGCTCACTGTTTAGTGATATATTTTATATTGATACTTATACTCTTGTACTTTTTTTTTAGATTTTGTATGCAGGAGTTTTACTTGTAACAGAGTATTTCTACACTGTGGTATTACTACTTTTACTTCAGTACTTCCTCCATCTCTGTCGATAACTGAATGTAACATACTTTAAGTGACACAGATCACAGCGCCCCCTTCAGGTCATTTATATGGCACTTTTTAAAGTAAACATAGAACGTTAATGGCACACCGTTGCCTCGGCATTGTGTTTTTAAAAGCACTTCTTCTTCTTCTTGTTTTTTCTGCAGCACTTCAACTCTCGGAGTTGCCAGCTGGTTCTGGGAGCCGGAGCTCTGCAGGTTGTCGGTCTGAAGACCATCACCACCAAAAACCTGGGTAGGACCGGCTGCACGCACCCGTCCCAGCTTCAGTCTACCTGAAGATGAAGACGCTAAAGGTTTTGTGTTGTGTTTGCAGCGTTGGCTTCCCGCTGCCTGCAGCTGGTGGTTCACTACATTCCCATCATCAGAGCTCACTTTGAGACCAAACTGCAGCCCAAACAGTTCAGCGTTCTCCGACACTTTGACCACATCACCAAGGTACTGCACGTAAACAGATGCTCACGTATGCATAAAAAAATGTAGAATTCCCAAAGATTTCCTTTTCCTACTTTGAGGTGTTTCTGAGGCGACGTCGTCATTCGTGTCTCTGAGGCCGTTTGTTGCTTTGCAGGACTACAACGACCACGTAGCGGAGATCTCTGCTAAGCTGGTGGCCATCATGGACAGTCTGTTTGAGAAGGTTCTATCGAAGGTGAGATCACGTTCTAAATGCTCGAACGTGTTGAGTTGGTGTAGAGCAGCATGTAGAGCGTATGCTGCACACTGTGTTTCAGTTTGATCACTGAGCAAACGGTGACGTGTTTGTAACTTAACATCCAGCTGAAAAAAGGCAGAATTATTTGAGCATAACGCTGGATGATGTAGTTTTTCTGAAGAATACTTTTATGTTTTATTAAGGATTTATTTCTACTAGGAGGAGAAAGTGAGCTCAAATGTAATGAGATATTATACGCAACATTACTCGTGTTTTTTCATACTTTGCCACATGTGGAGGGGGCTCCACAGGTTTATTGCCAAGTAACTTTTAACATGCATGGAATTTACTGTTGTTTATAATAATAATAAAACAAAAATCATGAATATTAAAACAAACATTTACAATAAGTAAAGTAAATCTGGTGTGTGTGTGTGTGTGTATATATATCTATCTATCTATCGGGTTAAACCTTCAGTTTTTGTTTACGTCACAGAATCTAAAAGAACAGCCGTCGGCCATCTTTGAGACCCTGTTGAAGTAAAGCTTGTGATAAAGTGTAATAAAAACATTTCCAGTGTCGATAAGTTAAATCACTATCAGGGATTGTTTCCATGTTATCAGCAGTGTTTCTTCTTCTCTCTTATCAGTTGTTTTTGATGATAAAGAAATATATCGATATAAAGAAATAAACGTGACTTTTAAGGTTGAAATAATGTCCCGTAATCAAGTATAGTTCAATTTCTGCGTTTCACAAAGTTACGGCGTTATTTTCAAAAATAGTTTTTGCTTTTAATATTTGTTCATTTTTCAAATATCGCACGGTATTCGCTTCAGTTGTAACACGCAGCATGAACCCGGAGGGTGATGCAGAGATTACTTATCGTATTACTTTTCTTAATGTTTATCTCACTAGTTAACGCTGAATTAAAACGTGTAGCCCATCCATCACTCACCACTCCATCGAGGGGAAACCCTGGCTCACTTTGAGTTGTTGGTTTGATTCCCAGCTGTGTTGCAGATGTTTAGTCATGTTGCTGCTGCTGTTGTTGTGTCCTCAGTACGAAGTAAAGGCTCCGATGCCGTCGGCCTGCTTCAGAAACGCCTGTAAACAGATGGCGAAGATGCACGAAGCCATTTCTGAACTTTTACCTGAAGAGCAGACGCAGGTGAGACTCGACACGACGCACTCGTCTGTTAAGATGAGTAAACGGTGTGACGTGTGAACGGAGACGCGCGGCGCTCTCACACAGATGTGTGTCTCTCTGTGCAGATGTTGTTTCTGAGGATTAATGCCAGTTTTAAGATGCACCTGAAGAGGCAGCTGGCTCGACTCGGAGTCGTTAATGACGGAGGACCTCAGAACGGGTAAACGAGTCTCATTTCATATAAAAGTTTAAACGCACGCTCACAAGAGTCGATTTATTTCATGAGCAAACAGCACCACCATCCAAAACTCACAGAAAAAGGACGAAATAGATGGGGATTAATAAAATCAATGCTTAGTTTTAACTGGCCGCTGTTGTTTGCAGGCTGGTTGTGGTGGACGTCGCGTTCTACACGGAGAACGTTCAGGCGCTGAAGAACCTCGACCGGCTCGACCTGAACATGGCTGAGATCTGGGAGCAGAAGAGGTGATGGAGGACGACGGGACGTCCAGGACCGACCAATGAGACCCGGAGACGTGAGGCCGGCCTCATGGGGGGCCGGCCGGCCGGCCCGAAGGGTCCAAAAATACAAAACTGGGAGGAGAAAAGCAGCTACAAGCCGGGGGGGCTTCCTGAACAGCTCCACCTTAAAAAGACTTCAAGTAACACACAGAGCCTCCTTTAAAACACGGCTGCCACCTCCTCTCACTGTGTGCAATCCAACAGAAATACTCAAACATTAGACGGTTTTAGTGCGAGTTAAGGGTGTAGATAATGTTAAAGAAGTGGCGGGTAATTTATTTTTCGGTCGTCTTGAAGACATTCTGTACTGTGGCGAACTTTGTCTCCAGATGTTGGAGCTGAAGGGATTTTTATCATCGCTGAAACAGATGTTTCTTTGACTCTTTGCTCAAACTTCACAGCCGAGGATTCTGGGTTCAGATGACGTGGATCGCTCCGGAGATAATTTAATTTTTTTTGTTCTTCCTGCTTCTGAACGAATCAACAGGGTTCCCTTCGCGGTGTTTCCAAACTTTTTTCCGAACCTCGTTCATCAGCTGGTTTTGGTTTCTCTTCGTTGTGGTTCAAAGGATTCTTAAACTTTTATACTCGAGACGGTTTGAGGCCTGAAGGAAAACAAAATAAATGTGTGATTGAAGAGTTCATTTCCTGAAAACCTTAAACAAACATCCAGACTGTGAACGCATCACAACTCTCAGCAGCATCCTGTCGTTACCAAAGTAATACACTTTCTAATTTGGGGAATAAACTCTTTGATTACACATTAGTTTCCTTCAAACTGTCAAATTATGCATTCAGTTTCCTTCAGCCGTGAGGATCCAGAGGCGCGTTTCTTCTTCGTGGAGTTGATCGATGAGTCTGACTGCAGAACATGAAGCATGAAAATCAGCTGTTGACTCAGACTGCTGTCCTCCCTCCTGCTGTAGTTTTATTAAACCTGCATGAAGAACGTGAGCTTTTTGTTTCCTCTGAAACTGAAACGACTCAAAAACGGAACAGAAAATCTGTTTGTTTGACTTTTCAACGAAGAAAACCAAAAATAATTGAAATGTGCACAAAACGACTTTTGCCTGCTCGTTAGTGAGGACTCCTTCCTGTTGATCCAAAATGCATTCAAGCAGGAAAACTACAGTCGGAGGTAATCATGTGACCCGGAGCGTTAGTGTTCGGGCCGTTATCAGTGAATCTCGTCTCAAGACGTTCACCAACACACGCTTGTATTCAGGTGTTCTGAGTCACGGTCGCCCGGCTCAAGCCGGCACTGTGCTGGTGTGGTTTTGGAGCGCTCCCTCCGATCCTGTTCTCAGGACATGGTGGGCAAAGATAGACCTTTATGCGTCACTGAAGTGCACCTGAGTCCGATTACAGGACCACACCTACAGCACTTACCCGGTTGGGTTTTCTTCAAACGTTAGATTTTCTGTTCCTGAGTGAAGTTCAGTCCCTCTGAGCTCAAACACACATCTGTCCAGCTGCAGTCGCATCGCCTCGAGTCTCTGAAACCTACATCGACACTACAGACTCACTGCTTCAATCAGCTACAGTACTTTAATACAGCAGGTTTATTACTGAGACAATGTTATTTTTCCAACCTGAAATAATGTGACGCAAAAACCTCGGCTGTTTATGAACAAATCATCTTTATGTATACAGTATATATATATGTGTGTATACGTCAGATTCAGAGAGTGATGTGACTGCAGCTGTCAATGCTTTTTGATCTCAAGAAACTAACTCATCGCTGTCTGCTTCAGAAGTGCCTACTTTTGATCGACTGTCAGAGACGACACATCTGAGCTCTCCACTACAGTGTGCCTAGTGTGTGTGTGTGTGTGTGTGTGTGTGTGTGTGTGTGTGTGTGGGGCGCGTTGGGCTGCATGTATGAGAATCCAAAATGTATTGATTCCTTCAAACCTGATGTGAATAAAACGGGATGACGGAGCGACTTGTCCTTCAGTCTGTTTTACTTTACTGTTTTTCATTTTACTTTTCAGGCTCGTGTGACATCGTACTGATACAAAGGTTGTTTTTGTTCATTTAATTTAATAATTGTCCGTCACATCGGCACACAGCACCGTCCAAATCTTTGTAATCACCGGTTATATCGATGTTTTTCTTCTTTTCAATTACTTTATCAGAGATTAAAATACACTATAATTAGGCACCACATGTTTATTTACATTTGGAATAGTTTTGGTCCCAATAGAAGAGCTAAAGGATTTAAACTTCTGTTTAGTCGATGTCCACACAGTGTTGCATGAGAGGAGAATCCTGTTGGAACTTGGTTTTGTTTTCCAGTCCAGAAAAGTGACCCTTAAAGGTGCAACTGGGCTCTAAATATTGAGTCTTTTTTTTTTTCCCATGAGCCTCTGCTGTCAGGCTGTGGAGGTTTATACTGTGATGTGTTCAGCTGGTATTCCCAAAGTGCTGACTCTACACTAACCTTCTATTTCTACTGTGAACTCTGAAGAAGAGCTTCACTAAAGCAACACGTCGCCTGTTAATTCCAGTTTGTTAAAAGCTGCTTTATTGTGAAACAGGAAGCTGTTCATATTTAAATCTGAACACATTTTGATACTAAAAAGCTTCCAGTTTATTTCATCAATGATGGATTTCTTCTGTTATTGAGCTGTTGCTCAGAGGGTCTTTGTCTCTTTTAAATGTCAGTCTTGTTTTGTTCTCCATGTAAATGCATTTTAATGTGAAGGCCTTTATTACAAAGCCAACAACTTTATTTTCAGGAATTGTATAAATGTGTGTCTATGTATGTCATTCAGCATGAAAAAGCATCATTTCTAGAGACTTTTATTTTGGAAACCAAACATGTTCAACCATCTAGAAGGATAAATGAAACTGAGCAGTTAAAAATCCCAAAACTTCTAATTTGAAGTCGGGCATCAGACGAGCGCAGCAGGCTCAGGCTCAGGCTCATCAGCGACGGGTTTCCTCAAGTCCTCGTGCATCACGAACACGAGGAGGTGGTCGATAAAAGAAGCCGAGTTCATCAGAGAAAAGAATCTCAAGTGTCTTCAAGGTGCGAGTGGCTTGTTCTGTCTCAGTGGTCGAGGATCCGCAGGTTTCCAGAGACGATCTTGTTCTCCAGCATCGCTCCGGCCGGAATGTCGATCCGGTCTCCGTGGTTGGCGATGATGATGACGGTTCCCTGTTTGGATTACCAAGACAGTGATGTCATTCAGTGGAAGAAGTGTTCAAATCCTTTACTTTAGTAAAAGTACTAATATACAGTGTATGTTCCACTTAAAGTACATTTATGTGGCATCTTAAGTTCCTTTGGAGGTTCAGATTATTAACACAATATATAATCGACGATAAATTATGACGTATTATATATTAAGCTACCACATATTATACTATGACTTTTTAAATACCTTTTCAACATACTATGACTTTCTTACCAGACTACGCTTTTATCTATAAATAAAATGTTGAATTATTGTATTTTTCATACCAGTAACTAGCAGTGCAGCATTGACCGTTTACCTTCACAGAGACGTTTTTTCCGAAGGTGACGTCTCCCGACACGGTGAGGTGGTCGAGCTCCAACATGTCCGGGATGCTCTCAAACCTGGACAGAAACTCCTGAACCTGCACAACCAACAGCAACGTTACAGTTCAGCTCACTCCGAAAGTCTGGAACTAGTTCCTCTTATTTATTTATGATCCACCCCTCTGCAGCAGCATTGAGGAAACCCTTTAACTATGATGATGTAATAAACGTTAAAGTAGACGTTACATGACTTTACTTTCCTGAAATGAGGAAATGAATATATTATCACGTAAAAACAAAGCCTGTGACATTAAGATAACAAGATGTCCATCTCAAGAAACTTAACATTCAATATCTTTTTAAAGAAACTTCTGACACCAGAAGTTGTGTTTAAACGCCTCCCTGCTCGTGTCGTCCCGTCGTTGCTGACCTTGGTGAAGGAGCTGCCCAGCTTGACGTGCGGCGTGGTGGGGAACTCTCTCTTCTTGCTCATGGTGAGCGAGCCGGCGTCCATGCTGTACAGGTTGGACATCACCAGCAGCAGGTCGGACGACGTCTTCACGGGCAGGAAGCGGCTGCGGGGGACGTTCACACCCATGGCGTTGTTGAAGCTCTTGATGGCGGCGCCCACGGCCGTCTCCAGCTGGATGACGTTCAAACCGCCGTCCAACGTCTGGAGAGACATTCGAGGGTTTGGGTTAGAGTAGGAAACGACAGCATCAACTCAGTCAGTCTTATTGTTAGCACAGAGACGGTTGGGTTGTATGAGGTACTTATACATATTCAGTGTATTAGTTACAGTAGATGGCGGTCCCTCTAAACAACAAACATCAGTTTAAGTCTGCTCTATATTTAGATATTTTCACCACTGTACCTTGTTGTCAGACCTTTGTAGACGTTATCTATGCTCTCTTCAAAGAAACTCCATTGACATAAACAGTTATTTTACCGCTCAGAACACAGGTGTTGCTCTTTCACAAGTGTGCGTCACCTTGGGGTTGACGATGATCTCCAGGTCCATGGCGTTCTTCTCCTGCAGCCTCTTGATGGCGGGCAGCGAGATCCACAGGTTGTTGGTGTTGAAGATCTTGAACTTGGTGACGGACTTGAACTCGTCGACGTGGGCCTTCGGCACCTGCGCGATCTCCAGCAGCCTCAGGTGATCCTCGTACTGGATCAGCGTACCGCCCTGCAGAGGGGAGGAAACAGGAAGCGCTGAGAGGCGGAGCAGAGCAGAGCAGAGCCTCGCCTCGCCGAGGTCACCGCACGAATAAAAGCCCCGCGCTGACCTTAACGTCCGCCCTGGTCTTGTCGGTGACCTCCATGATGAACTCGCAGCGCCGGTCGGCCGGCTGGCTCATCAGGTGGTGGAGGATGAAGAGGTCGACGGTGGCGCCCAGGTTGTCGATGTTGGACACGAAGATGTACTCCTTCCCCTCGGCGAGGAGTTTGTCGAGCAGCCCGCAGTTGGAGAAGCTGGCGTAGACGTCTCCGTGACCCGGCGGGTACCAGGCCTCCCCGTTCTCACCGTTCATCCCCATGTGTTTGGCGATTGGCAGCAGCGACTCCTTGTTGATCCTCGGATACCTGCGAGGAGAACATGTGATCGCTGGTGTCGCACTTCAGGGACAGTTTGTTTTATGCTGCAACTAAACTGGACAAAACAGAAATGTACATTGGTCGGTTTTCAAAGGAAATGTTGAACATAAGAAACTAGAGATGGCCAACAATAATAACATTAAAACTAATAATCATGATAATTGGCTTTATGTAGCACTTTCAAGCTTTAGCACAAGTGCTTTCCCCGTGTGTGTGTGTGTGTGTGCGCTGCACCTGCTCTGGTTGAAGGTGTGGATGTTGACGCGGTGGTGTTTGTATTTCTGCAGGATCTTCTTTGTGTCCTCGTCAGTGTTGAAGGAGTTCATGAGAACGAGCGGCACGTCGGCGTTAAACGTTTTGTTCAGATGCTGGAAACGACGACGACAGAGAGAAAAAGAGAGTTCAGTTCCGCGTTGGTCTGAAGATTGAAGACGGGCGTGTTGTGAGACTCTACCTCGATCTGCTGGACGGTCAGGTCCAGGAAGGTGTTCTCGTTGCGGACGCTGATCAGACTCTTGGGGCCCTTGCAGCCCATACTGGTTCCCAGACCGCCGTTCAGTTTGACCACAGCGAGCTTGTTGAGGCTGGCGGTGATGTTGTCGGGAAGACCCTCCGTCTTGATCTTCTCGTAGGGACGGATCTGAGCAGAGACACGGACACGTTTAAAGGGACAACACGGCATAAACCTGGGCCTTAAAGACTCAATGTGACGCTGTTAGGGCCGGGCAATTTATATCTTTATTATACTTCTTTATTTATATATCATATCGATATCGTGATACACATCAAATGACACGCATGGGGAAATTAATTTACAGACTAAAATACTAGAAAAGTCAGAGAGGCTTTAACAAAAACCTCAGAACATTTAAATGTCTTGACAAAAAGTTGATGACCCTAAAATGCTACGCTAGGCTAAACAGGCCCTGGATCTCTTCACTGGGTGCACAGAGACGACAGTGACTCTCCTTCAATGTGGGACTGTTACCGTTTAAATGATTCAACCGCTACAGGACGAGCTTCATGCTTCAGAAACCAGCTCTGATGACGGAGGAGGAAATAAAACAAATAAATCAGGAAACAAAGTTTGACTTATTCCCGTCCAGAGCTGCAGTTCTGACCTTTAAAAGCTCACCAGAGTCACATGACAGCCGCCTGACACACAGAAAGGACAAGCATTTATGGACACTGTGTATGTATGTGTGTGTGTGTGTGTGTGTGTGTGTGTGTGTGTGTGTGTGTGTGTGTGTGTG